TCTACAGTACATCCATACATACACTTATTCCTGACACGCTAGGCAAGCTTCGCTTCATTAACCCCTTCCCCTCGCCCTAGTCGATCAAGATACAGCACGATACATTGCGGTACCTTCTTTCCAGTTAATTCAGATAACTCCTGCCAAAATCATCCTTTATACCCTGCATTCCAATTCTCATCCTCGCTCGCCTCTCTACCTTCTCAACTCTGCTATCATACAACCAAACACTTCTTTCTTCCCTTCTTAGAATCCCAATTCCAATAGAAGACGCCTGCAAGCTCAGCACATTCGATAAGGACCTGGTAGGTGGTTACTCTGGCTCCACTTTCTCTGTGGAATTCATTCAATTCATACCAGTCCAAGAATTGAAGCTTGTGCACTTATTATAGAGAGGAAAGTTGTTGTGAGTACATCAATCAATTCCATTCACTTTGTAGCTGAGTGACACATTCTCTGCACCTACTTCATCCACCTTCATTTATCAGATACAAATCTCACGAGCCTCACTAAATTATTTTCCGATCGTATATAGATTATTCCACCAACTCGATCTGTCAACTCCCTTCTTGATTCCCCGCGCCCAATTTGCTGTGGAATACTCTTGATTCACTCCATTACATTATTGCAATCCTATTGAATGTTCACTGGTTTGTAAAAAGCATTAAGCTGTTTACCTCACACGCGAGAACGAATGTCCCTACCGTCGGCGTACTTGACCGAAATCGAGTCTCTCAGTCAAGAAATCCTTAGAAGACAGCCGGCCGATATTCTACAATTTTGTGCCAACTATTTTTGGCAACGTCTGGAAACGGAGCGCGCAGGGTTCCTGACATCTCGCAATAGATCATATCGTTCCGTGTCGCCCGGAACAGCAAATCGCCCGAATATGGCTGGGAATACCTTCCCTGGCCGGCTTGGAACTCACGTCAACCCTTTTGGTAGCGACGGAAGTGGCATGGGGCATGAGCAAGCTAGTTCCGGCACCATCTCGAAAGTCATAGAGGAGGATGAGAATGATACCATCACATCACCAACTACACCTCATTTTGGATTCTCGAAAGGGATCCCCTCGTTTGGAGCTTCCTTTGGTGGAGATGCATCTGCTGGAGAGTTCCCACCATCTTCCTTTAAACCCGCAAGCGAAGGATTTCCCGAGCATTATGGCATGGGAAGGCGCACTTCTGTTTCGGCCGAATCTCTCAACCCAACAGCTTCATCCAATGACAACTGGTCTCCACCATTTCATCAAAAAACATCAGATCAAGTAGCACGCTTGAAGAAATCGATTTCTGGAAATTTCCTATTTAGTCATCTCGATGACGAACAAAGCGCCCAGGTGCTAGGTGCTCTCGTAGAGAAGCCGATTCCAGCTGTTGGTATCAAGGTATGTGTAGATCTAGCTATTATCCACTCGAATCCTACTAACTCGCATTAGGTTATCACCCAGGGTGACCAGGGAGATTTCTTCTACGTAGTCGAGAAAGGTTCCTTTGACGTATATGTCAACCCCACTGGCTCACTGCAGCCAGGCCCCGATGGCCTCGGGACCAAGGTGGCTACCATTGAGCCTGGTGGATCATTTGGTGAACTCGCCCTCATGTATAACGCTCCCAGAGCAGCCACGGTAATATCGGCCGAAGCATCTTGCACTCTCTGGGCTTTAGATCGCATCACTTTCCGCCGAATTCTCATGGATTCGACATTCCAACGCCGTCGTCTCTACGAAAGTTTCCTGGAAGAAGTACCCCTTCTTTCAACCTTGACCCGCTATGAAAGATCAAAAATAGCCGATGCTTTGGAGACGCAGAAATACCCTCCTGGAACTTCAATCATTACTGAAGGAGATGCCGGAGAAGCATTCTACCTTCTTGAGAGTGGGGAAGCCGAAGCATACAAGCATGGCGTAGAGAACCCAGTCAAATTATATCACAAGGGAGATTATTTCGGCGAGTTGGCGTTATTGAATGATGCTCCTCGAGCCGCCAGTGTTATTAGCAAAACCGAGGTGAAGGTCGCAACCCTTGGCAAAAACGGCTTTCAAAGGCTGTTGGGACCGGTTGAGAGTATTATGCGAAGAACCAAGTATGAAAGTGTAGAGAGCATTGACCCACTTCATCAGGATTAAAGGACCATCGGATGGGATGGATTCATTTTATTGCTGGCGTTCAGATACAGGGTACGTTCGTTCACGAGATGATCAAATGGACTAGGGTTTGTGGGCAATACCTGAGATACAGACAAGAGTCAGATTTTCAATCACTTTGCAATTGTATTATGGAAGCTGTTAGCGGACTGCTTTCGAATGCTCATTAGTTTTACACTATGCATCTTTTATCCCAACGCCTCAATTATAATTTTATGAATCATAATGCAATCCAAATGATACCCCGACCGTGAATATGCACGCAGGTTTTGATGTCGTATAGTACTAGCAAAAACCTAGCTAGTACTTCAATCCTTCTTCCTCTTCTCCATATTGACAAACTTCATATGCTCTCATCTTGAAATCAACTAGCACCTGCCCTTCTTCTCTCCAGAATCTCCCTCCTAACACCTTCAGCCGCCACCTCCGTCTCCAACACCCTCCCAACGCCCTTCTTCCACCCTTCCTCTAAGCCTCTCATCTCCGCCTCCACTGCGTCCTGTGCGTTCTTTCTCCCAATCACTACAACATCAATCTCATCTTTCTTGGCTGCCACTTCTCTCTCCAACCCCTTTAATATATCTTCCAACTGCGCGTTTCCAATTAACCAAGCATTTTTACCAAACTGATCGAGTAAGGAGAGGTTGGTGAGACGCGTCTTGAGATAGGTTTGAGAGGTGTAGGCTTGGGAGAGGAGGGTTGGAGCTGGGAGTGATGATTCGGAGGGGGAAAGTGTTTCGTAGCGGCTTAGGTCAATGGCGTTTAGAGGTGGTGGAGGTGTGGAGGAAGATATGCAGGCGTGTTCAGCAGCAAGGGCTGGAGAGAGGTTGGAGGGTGAGAGGGGTGGGAGAGAGGGGTGTAGAGTGGATGTTGAGGCGGGCTCTAAATAGGTGGTAATGAGTGATTCGGCAGCGGCTCGTTCGAGTGGAGTGGGCTCGGCGTCAATGTATGGGAGAGATTCGTGAATGTCGTTTATGAGAGGCATTTTGAAGTGGCGCTGGATGCTTTTCTTTGATGGGTTGTGATGTGAGCTGAGGTATTTGACCTGAAGAAGAGCGACTTTGGTTTGAGATTTGTAGAAGCACGAAATGGAAATTATATCTTCCCTGACGAATTTTTGGATAGTACCGAGGTAATTGAACCGTGATAGACCTTGACAAATTAAGCTGGACAATATCCTTGTTGAATACGAGTGCTTGTATAATGTGTTGTGTTTGTAAAGATATAATAAATTTCTCCAAGTAAACAAGCCTAGAAGCTTAATGTTTGCCTTGCGCGCCAGGCTCGCTCCACCGTGAGCTTAACCGCTACTTCCTCCCAGCTCCCAAGCTACAACTATAAACTTTACAACGGTCACCATGGGATGATTTTTTAACATTCTCATATTCTAAAGAGACTGCATTATAAAATACATCAATCTTGCTTCAGTATCATGGAGCAGGACCCGGAAATGAAGGGTGGTCCTTTCGACCTGAACCGACGTGAGCATAGCAGGAATGGTTCTGGAATCCAGCGGTCTGTGAGAAATGCTGTTGTAGTAACTCTTTTGGTCGCCTCTTTATTGATATTTTATGATATGCTTTTTGGTGGATCTATACGAAAGGAGTTTTGGATATGGACAGATGGAATTTATGGAAGTAAAGGGCATGAGCAGGATGGTAGTTCGAAGGGAAGCCAGTACTTACTGGGAGTTGGGAAAGCAGATATCACCGGGTAAAAGTTACAATTAAGGACTATGAGGCCATACTAATACTCATTAGTCCAGTCGTAGAGATCAACATGATGGGGTATGCAGATCCCAAGCAATTAGGATCGGGATTACGGCAACGTCTCTACTCTCGAGCGTTTATCGTAGGCGATATCAATCGTCCGGAGGACCGTTTCGTCTATCTCGTTTTGGATACACAATCCGGGGATACTGCCGTTAGGTATGGGATACTAGAAGGTCTGGCAAACCTCGGTAGCGACTATGCTGTGTATGGACAACAGAATGTAGCTGTGGCAGGCACGCATTCTCATTCGGGTCCTGGGGCGTGGTTAAACTATCTACTGCCTCAGATTACCAGCAAAGGGTTCAGTAAACAAAGTTATCAGGCTATAGTAGATGGTGCTGTTTTGTCTATTCAAAGAGCTCATACTAGCCTTCAACCTGGATACCTGAATATCGGTACGACGAAAGTCTTTGGGGCCAATATCAATCGGAGTTTATACGCCTATTTGGCGAATCCGGAGAATGAACGAGCTAAGTACAATACTAGTACCGAGGACGACGGATCTGTCGAGAAAGACCTTACTCTGTTGAAATTCTCACGAGCTTCGGATGGGAAGAATATTGGGGTTTTAACATGGTTTCCCACACATGGAACTTCGATGCTAGGGAACAATACCCTGATTTCGGGAGACAACAAAGGTGTCGCTGCAGATCTTTTCGAAAAAAGTGTAAATAAGGAGGAAAATGCAGCTGGAAGTTTTGTAGCCGGATTTTCACAAGCTAATGTTGGCGACACAAGTCCGAACGTTCTTGGTGCTTGGTGTGAAGATGGATCTGGGCAGCAATGCAGCTTCGAAAACAGTACCTGTAGTGATGGTAAGAGCCAGTATTGCCATGCCCGTGGGCCGCTCTTCCGCGTAAAAGATAATGGAGCATCATCTTGTCACGAAGTTGGCAGGAGACAGTTCCAGCCTGCCAAAGAGTTATATGACGAGACCGACACAAAGTTGACCCCTGTTTCCGGATTATCGGTGAAATCATTTCATACATTTCAAGACATGTCCAACTTCTCCTTTCCATTGGCAAACGGGAGCTACGTTCATACGTGTCCGGCTGCTTTAGGCTATTCCTTCGCGGCCGGTACCTCAGATGGACCAGGTGCGTTTGACTTTACTCAAAACGACCCGAATACACCAAATGCCTCGCCCGTATGGCAAGTCGTCTCCGGTCTCCTCAAGGCACCAAGCAAGCAGCAGCAGCGTTGCCATTATCCCAAGCCTATTTTACTTGATGTTGGCGAGATTACGACGCCTTATTTGTGGACACCTAATGTCGTTGATGTGCAAGTGCTTCGGGTTGGGCAGTTACTTATAATTGTCAGTCCTGGCGAGGCAACCACAATGTCCGGTCGTCGCTGGAAAGAAGCTATTCACGACTCCGCTGCATCAACCATACTTTCCGACTCTTCCTCCGCAGATCCCATAGTCGTCATCGGTGGTCCAGCAAATAGCTATACACACTACATTGCTACACCTGAGGAATATGGCATCCAACGCTATGAAGGCGCCTCCACTCTCTACGGTCCCTATACTCTTAACGCCTACATTAACCTCACCCTCACCAATCTTCCGTACCTAAGTACCACCTCAAACTCTCAACCTCCTCTAGGCCCTCTTCCCCCAAACAATGTCAACAAATCCCTGTCCTTCATAACCGGCGTCGTCTACGATGGTCACCCGCTCTTTACTTCCTACGGCGATGTAAAAATCGACGTTCTCCCCAAATATCCCCTTTCCTCCTCCCCAATCATAACCGCCACTTTTATCGGTGCCAACCCACGCAATAATCTACATCTCGAATCCACATATGCAGCCATTGAGATGCAGATCCCAGGCACGGGTCAATGGCAGCGGGTGCGCGATGATAGTGATTGGAGTTTGATTTTTGAGTGGAAGAAAATCAGCGAGATATTGGGGACTAGTGAAGTTACCATTACATGGGAGGTAGAGGACTGGGCGCAAGATGGAAGGTATAGGATAAGATATTTTGGGGATTCGAAGGTGGTGGATGGGACAATTACGCCATTTGAGGGAGTTAGTGGGGAGTTTGAACTTGTGAGGTAATGCTTTCATAGTCTTTTTCTGTATTACAAATTCGGAATGTTATGGTTGTGAATTACGGATTCGGGGCAACGGCACATCAAGTAGGATTATGATTAGGACCAAACGATATCACAACGGTTGAACGATCATTTCAATGGATGAGTTTATTGTGATTATTCTGTCTATTTACGATTTTATAATTTTTATTCGCCGGGTATTGTATTGTACAGACAAGCTCGCCCTAAAAAAACACCAAACTATGTAAGTATGCCCCAACCTTTCATTCAAGTTTTGTGCCAAATTATCGCCATTAAACTCCATCATATGACCACATCTTCACGTCAACCGTAGGCTCAACCATGGATCGATCTCTTAAGTTTCACTCTCTCCCTTTGATCTACCTTCCATGCATCTTCGAAAAGCGTTGGCTTTACCTTCAGATGATCGGGAGTAAGATCTAGTTGCCTAACAACCTTGAAAGCACCCGTACCTACACCCATCGTCTGTCCCATGATAATACACTCACTGACACCCTCAATTCTGTCCGTCTTCATGCCTGCGGCCGCATCAAAAAGATGATCCGGGGTTTTCTCGAAGGATGCAAGTTGCAGTACACTATCTCTCATTTTCGAAAGACCGAAACGGGTGATACCTAGGACTTCTCCCTTGTATGTCATGACATCAGCAAGAAGTTGCATGTGACGAGGATCGATGTCCATATCCGCCATAACGGTTGCGATTTCGTTGGCGATTGTATAACGAGCTGCTTCAATACCTAAGACATCACGCATTTCCATGACACTGTTAGACTTGACTTTGGTGCCGTCAACACCTTCGGTTCCGATACAGGCACGGAGACCATATCCTTCGACAACGACTGTGTACTCTGGCTTCTCGTGTTCAGATGTGTTGATGATAGCTCTGGTGGCTTCTGGATATCCGGATATGGCCAATTCTGGTATAGCGCGCTTAAGGTGGTGTACACGGAGTAGAAGGTCAGAACCACCTTCATCGAGGGTAGGCTTGCCCTTAGCCGCGGTCCCACGAGCTGTGGTAGGAGCGCTACCATCATGGGTAACCCTGATGAAAATGCACTTTCCTTTGACGTTAAGATCTTCGCTTTTGACCTTGAGTTTCTTATTCTTCAAGATTGTAGTGGCAATATTCTCCACGGTTACTTCAATCTGCCTGTTCACTAAATACTCCGTGTCGACCGCCAGACAGATTACTGCGGACCTCGCTGACCACATATCTTCGGCAAAATGAAGAACTTCATGCAAGTAGGTCTTCTCCATACGAGCTTTGACGAGCCGGGCTACATCCAAGTCCTTATCGTTGAGCAGAGGGCATTTGACGAACGGCGTAGCAATCGTCTTTGAAGCGTTGATAATTTCCTTAATACGGGGTACACCAGCGGTCAAATTCATACCAGCGACACCGGCAAAATGGAAAGTTTTCAACGTCATTTGTGTTCCAGGTTCTCCAATCGATTGCGCTCCAACAGCTCCGACGGCATGACCCGGTTCGACCTTGGCTCGCGAGTACTTTTCCAGGCAGAGCTCACAAAACTTTTTCAATGTGGTTTTGGAAACCTTGGCAACTTGGTTCACATAGGCTCTCGATTCATCATTCTCGTCATTTTCGTCGTAAAGAATACCCGTAACTTTCGGATCTTGTACAAAATCATGCAGTCCAGCCTTCGTTCGCGCTTTAGCCATGTGCGATGCTTTTTCACCTATGAATTTGTTAACGGCCGCAAGGAACTCCCGGCCACCATCATGCTCATCGACACCGTAGTCGCTCGCATCGTCGTAGCCTAATGGTTCACCGTTACGAAGTCCAAATCTAGAAAATTTGGCTTTAAATGTTGCCAAGTGTTCCGTGCATTGCCCCGTAACCTCAAAAGGGAGAAGTGACCTTTCTTCATTGTCCCATGTGAGAGTCTCTGCTTGAGTCCATGTTCGCTTGAAATTGACAGGGACTGCATTTCCCTCCATGTCCAACGGATCCAGTCCGTCAGCACCAAACTGAAACTGGACGATTCCGCCACCAGAAGTTCTGACGGTATCATCATATTGTGTTGATAAATCCTCTAGAGATTTCATGAGTCGTCGCGACATGTAACCGGTTTCTGCCGTTTTGACGGCAGTATCTACCAAACCTTCACGTCCGGACATAGCGTGGAAAATGAATTCATAGGGGGTCAGCCCAGTGAAGAAGCTGTTTGCTACGAACCCCTTGGCAGGAGGCTGTTTAGAATGCTTCGGGAAATGGGGGAGAGTTCGATCTTGAAAGCCTTCTTGGACACGAGAACCTCCAATAATTTGTTGCCCTACTAGCGCCACCATCTGCGCAACGTTAATTGCAGAACCCTTTGATCCTGAATTAGCCATTACTAGCGGTGAGCTCGAAGCGTATAAGGTCCTGAGACACTCTTTTCCAGCTGCGCCACGAACTTGACTTAGCTTGCCGGAAAGTTTAGCTTCAAGTGTCTCCTCCATACTCAAACCAGTAGATTTCTCTAATGTGTTGTTCTTGAAACTTTCAATCAGCTGCTCGCACTCCGCGTAAGCAGCAGCGATTAGTCTGGCCTTACTCTTGTTGAGTTCCTCGGAAGGATAAACATCACTGATTCCTATGGAGAACCCCATGTTTGTGAGATATCTGGCGGAAAGCTTAGACAAGCGATTCATAGCCACAACAGCTGCGTCGGGGCCATAGTCACGTAATATGACATAGAAGATGGAGTCTTTTTTCCCAGATCCAACTGTGCTCTTGTCCATAAGGCCACACATCACTTCTGAGTTCCGAATTACCAGCCATCCGTCATTGGCTTCCATGTCATTCGCATACCCGGGCGGCACCATGTTTGGTACGAAGTCTCGACATTTCGCGTCAACATTGACAAGTATATTATCTTGCTTGTTCGGGCGCATGAGAATACTGAAAACTTGTTTGCCAGTCCAAAGAGCTTGTGGTTTTAGAATAGCTGGCGGAGGAAGTTGCAAATGAAGATTTGAGTCGACCATGTACATGCAAATATTGGTAAAGGTCTTGCGATCGAAGAAGTTCTCTTTACTAGATAGCAAATAAGCTGCAGTGATAAAATCTTGCGTAGCAGAAATGATGGGTTCTCCATTCTTTGGAGTTGAAAGATTGTTCTTCACTCCCATTAGATTAATCGCTTCGGTCCGCGCCTCCTCTGTTTGTGGTACGTGAAGGTTCATTTCGTCACCATCGAAATCTGCATTGTATGGATTGCAGACACATTCATTCAGACGGAATGTTCGCCATGGTCGAATTTTTGCGTAATGACTCATGATACTGAGCTTGTGCAGAGATGGCTGACGGTTGAAGAGAACAATATCGCCATCCTCAAGATGTCTTTCAACAACGTCTCCTATCTTGAGAAATTTTGCCTCATTGTCCCGCTTGGCAAATTTCAAGGATATCTTATGGTTGGAATCTTTCTTGACTATTTGTTGCGCACCCGGATGGACGTTCGGCCCATTGATGACGCACTTGCGCAATTTTTCGATGTTCTGGCGTTGGACCCGTTCAGGATAAGTGAGATTCTTTGCTACTAAAATAGGAACGGCGACTTCATCAATGCCAAGATTCGGATCGGGAGAAATAACTGTTCGTCCAGAGAAATCAACACGTTTTCCAGACAAGTTACCTCGGAATCGACCTTGCTTCCCCTTCAACCGTTGACAAAATCCTCGAATGGCCTTTCCAAACCCAGGTTGCTGAAGGCCTGGAACGTCGCTATTAACATACATGGCGATTTGTAATTGAAGAAAGTCCCATTGCTCCATGATTGTTTGCACTGCTTGTCCTTTTTGTAATGCCGCTCTTATCAGAGAGCTCATGTTAACAATCTCGGCAAGTTTCGCGGTGAGATCATCCTCATTACTCCCTCCATCTTGCGCAACAGATGGCCGAATGCAGATTGGGGGTGCCGGCACGAACTGCCATAGAAACATCTCCGGACGACCCTCAGCAGGATTGATCCCCAGAAGTTCGCAATCGCTCGGCGTGATCAGCTTGAACAAATTAAGCACCCTCAATGGGTGTAAATCCTCATAGACCTTCTTCACGTGTTTTTCCAACTCTGTATTGTTCTTCTTTGCTTCTTCAAAAGATTTTTGGTATTCGGCCATTCCCGGTGGAGCCACCTTCTTAGCTGCAGTAGACTTGTTGTATTTTGTGTACTTATCGTGTGCCAGACGAACGACACTGACTTTCCTAATTTGACCATTGGTAGCATCGCAGTGAGGGCACTGGCTTGCCTTTCGACATTGTTCGTTGATCTTCTTACAGATTTGTGTGCGCTTCAAATTATCAATACCTGGCTTTCGTAACTCTCTTAGGAACTGTCGTCGCTCGGCATCGGTAAGTAGAACCCTGGCGCATGTCTATGAATGTTAGCACCTTATTAACTAGAAGGAGATGAGTCTTTCGACATACCTTGCAGATGTTCTGTAGAATCATTATAATCAATTTCAAATACCCAATATGGAAAGCTGGAAGCGGTAATCTGACATGGCCAAAATGACCATTGCAATCTTGCAGACCTTTGTCACAAGTTTCGCAACGTCCGGCTTTGCTGGAAGTACCCTATTACAATATGTTAGTAGCTAATACCTGTAAATCGAAGTAAGTTCATCTTACCAATCTTGGATCCAGAGGGCCATGTGGAATGGGAGTTCGGCCATTATCGACATTGTACAACGTTTTATTCGAGACCTCTATGACGCCTTGGTTGACAATGTCTTGGTTTGACAGGATACCAAATTTTAACTCTTTGAAACGCTTCGGAATCTTGTCGACGACTTGCGCCTTGATCGACTCGCCGCTGGACATCATCGGCATATTGGCTTTGTGCTACCGGCAACGATGATGCATAGACCACGAAGATTAGAGGATATAGTTTGAGTAAAAGTCAAGCTTCCTTGCTATTGCATTGTTGTATTGAGGACAGGATCGAGCGATATTTGAGTGTTAGAACTTTGGTAGGCTGGCGTCGCGGTGAGTTAATAAGTTGTTTAGATCTGGATTGGACTTGATCAGCAGAAATTTTGGTAAGGTTGTAAGGTTGGCTCCGAAAAAAAAAAGGCTTCACACCAGTTGGAACCGAACCCCGCAATCATAAAGCTCAATTGGAGAAGCTTTTCTATAAAAAGACTAGCGCCAACCTTATCTATCATGATAAGATATATTCATTTCTTCAACAGGGGATACTTTTTTATTCGAGGCTAAAATACCCCCAAAAGAGGATATAAAAGTTCTGACACTTATATAAAATGCAGATGATTGCTTGCATCTGGACCCGCTTAGCTACTGTACAGGATGGCTTGATGGAATTTATTCGAGGCCTAGGTAAATATTCTGATATTCATATTCATATTCATACCCATACTCATACTCATATTCAAGTTCTGATATGATATAATAGAGCTGGGTTGAATATCCAATCATGACCCGATAGCTCAATGCGATCCAACAATAATGAGAGGCTTTGGTCTCCTAATCCAGTCAGTGCATATATGCATGCATGAACATCGATTAATACAGACTACTCCTGCTTTGGAAGAGTGACATCTGAGCCGTCAAATCCAGTTCCAGATTAGGGAGTTACATTCAAAACGTCACAACCTTTGTAAGACTAAAAGCCTTGGACCGCAATCCGGGACATTGGAACCATGTACTGGCAGAAGAGCGATATAACGGTATCATTAAAATATTTATGCTGAAGTATCCCTACACTCCTTTACGAACTTGAACATTCCAACCTAATCCTTTCCTTAAGAAGTCATATGCTTCCCATCCTCTCCACCACGTAATGCAAGAAAAGCCCGTACATCTGTCACATATTGAAGTCCCTCCAAAAGAGGCACGAGATGCAGAAGATCATTATCCGTAGGATCATTGATCCACCCCTCTATCGGTATTGCATTGTCTGCCGAATGGTTAGCTCCATTCAATACCTCGTAATGACATATATTCACCTTGATGGAACAGGTAGCTCGTAGGGCTATTATCTAAAATCATGACTTTACTAAGATCTGGCTCGACAGAACTGAGATCCTTGATGTAGGCACCGTTTCGAAAGGTGCAGTGCTGACGATAGTATCGTGCTGAAAAGAATTTACGCTCTTGTTCTAGCCAATCTATAACCGGGTCCGCGTAATCTTGGAGTGATGCTGTGAAAACAACCAAATTATACCATTTGCAAACCTGCGACCCTCATTAGTAATATTTTCCCGCACGGAATATATCGCTGCTTACACGTCGCAAGAAGTCATCGCAATATGGCCTCTTATTTACATAATACAATATTGGATGTTGGGGAGCAACGCCTCCTGTGCCCACAACGTTCGTAATTTGTACTTCAACCATATGACCAGCACTCATCCGACCTCCATGAATCATACTGTGTATCAAAGTTTCGTCGAGATCAAGGACGAGCGTCTTTTGTGTGAGTTTACCCACAGGAGGATCAAGAGTATACGATGGCTGTCGTCGAGGTATGAGAGGTCGCGGTGGCGCTGGAGCTCTTGGATACTTCGTCATGAGGAGAGAGGACGTGGCGGTGGATGTTGGCGACTTCATAATTGCAGCAGCCATCTCAGTAGCAGACATGGAACCGCCGGATCCATCACTTTGAGTAGTGGTTGATTGGGCCTTCCGGTGCTTCCGCTGCCTTAAATTTTCATCGCTATGGAGCTTAATGCGGATAGATCTCCTCGCAGGTGAAATCTCGTCGGTGCTTTGTAAGGACTTGGAACGTGTTTGTCGATTTGGCAATTTCGCTGCGGAGCTATCTGTCTCACTAATGAATCTGTCATTTTCTGATTCAGACTCAGATGAGACGAAGGATGAGGAACTCGGCGAAGCAGGCCCTCTTGATGACGGTGTGTGCGCAGATGATAGCTTTCCGTTGGGCAAATGGCTTATACTACTGCCCTCGGAAACAGGCGATCCTCCAGTTGTTTGTGCTATTGAATACCCATTGGTGCCACCAAATAGTTTCCTGAATTGATATATCGGGGCAAAATTACCCCTTTCATCGCACAGGCAAGCTATAACGTATACTCCCGGCGAAACAAGAGTAGACAGCATCCACCGTATAGAATCATAAAACATCCTCGTTATTCCCACATGCTCACTTGTATGATAAGCCGTGCCTTCTTTGTCTAGCAAAGGTGTTGATTCGTGTACTGAGTTTTCATCGTCTGGATTCGAGTCTGGCGCATGCTCCTGATCAAGTCCTTCCGGCTTCTGGCCGTACAAAGCTTCTCGCGAATTCCTTCTAGATTCTGATTTAGTTGCGGATGCCAATACATTTCCTAAAGAATTCGAACGCGAGAGCGATGGAGAATGTGTGGGAGACCCTCGCCCCGAGAGGATATTCAAAGAATTCATAATGGTTTCCGATCCATGGAGGAAGGTTTCTAACAATCGATCATAAACAATGGAGATTCGCGAGATTCCAAGCAAAAGAGCTAGGAGCGCAAAGGCCCAAAAGTTTATGATATCGGACTTCGGTTCGGAAAGTATGTTTGCTTCTTTTGTTCCAAGTTGAATGGTGATTTTTCTTTTTTGGCAGTTATCGTTGGAATCAGATTGAATGTTCGTAAGGGGGAGCGTATGTAGGTGTTGTGAATTATTGGTATATTGGAATAGTGTATTTGCTGTTAGTGTGTTGTATGGGGATGGTCCGTACAAAGTAGCTAGTATGTCAAAGGGGACCAAGTCCAAATGCCGCTGGTCTGACCAAATAGAATCTTAGAGAATAATAAAACAAGCTAAACGTTGGGGGAACCCGCGGTTCTAGAAGAAGAAAAAGATTGAGACGGGAAGAAATGGAGGAAGAGAATAGGAAAAAGAGTGTGAGGGAGGGAAATGGAAAATGGAAAATGACAATGGGGGAGGGTGAGGGTTCGAATTATCCTATGAAATCGTGTTAATATGTACCGGTCGGTATAAGAACGGGAAGGTTTAATTCCTACAGTACAGTAAGGCAGGTTACTATGATACGAAAGTAATGGATGGGGGCTGCACGATCGGTGATGAATGATGGGGGATTATTGAGTGGTGCTACATGAATGATAGTGGGTATGTGCAGAGTACGGAGTATGGCATCGGTGGCTGGGCTTGCAGAGTGAGAAAAGCTGGGGTTGAATAAGGAGCAACAGCGTGTCAGGGGGCTCTCCCTAGTATCAATGTAGGTATGTACAGCGAGTGAGGGTACTGTACAGTCTGTTCCGAGGCACTGTAACTTGGTTTTGATCATCGGCTTTTTCTCCAGAGTAGAGCCCGCTCACCCTGAGTCAGTCCCCGCATTTAGAATGTCTCCAAACATACTCCGTGCTACTGGTGTGCCTAGTACAGTAGGTAGGACTTGGTTTTTTCTTTTTTTCAAGCTTCCCTCACTCACTCACTCACTCACTTACCTCCTCCTTACACCTCCTTCCATATAACTGAAAGCAGAAAAGAACTCTCCGCAAAAATTTAGCATATTAGAAATTATCTACCTACTTGTACCGACAACTTTTGGAGCCAAACCTTGACAATAAATGACCCATGAAATTAGTAGCCGTCACAACCAATCCGTAAAAGTTTATTGAGGGGCATTCACATTTAACCTACGCAAAATATTCGACATCCAAAATACAATCTCAAGTTCCCTCTCCGAGCAACTCCTCCTCTTCCTTCTCCTCCCGTCTCACCGTCTCGAACAATTTACAGACACTCCATCGACATTTATTAAAAAGAATATGGCTCCAGTTCAAAGTGGAGGGTATGCGCCAAATCTTGGTGCATACCTGAAATCATTGAAAGGTCAACCAATTGAGTCATCTATAGAAAATTTAATATCGTACGTACTTTTCCATGATCTTTGAAAGTCGATAAATTAACCATCTTTAGACTTTTGAAACGAAGGCAGATAAGAACTCCTAGGTCATGCGCCATAGCCACCGCTCACTTATTACTCCAAGTTGTCGCAAAGCAAAGATGGACGGATATCACAAAAGTCTTGGAGCGCATTCGGAAAGTGGGACAAAGATTGATTGAAGCCCAACCAAGGGAAATGGTCGTGGGAAACATCGTTCGCAGAGTCTTGGGTATGATCAGGGACGAAGCAAAGGAGGACCGCACGGAAGACGTCAGTGATTCAGCTTCAACCAGTCAAATTGGGTCGCCCAGGCGTGAGGGCTTCAGCGATGTGGGACTATCGAGGCTGACACAGAGCTCACGGCCTCCTTTGATGACCTCGCATACTTCTTATGCTGCTCAGCATAACGTCCCTGTGCAGCAGTCAATGTTCAATCTCTTGTCGGCTGCTCCTTCTCCGGCTTCCACCCCTCCAGGAACCTCGTCTCCTCATGGCAGATCTGTGTTGGATATGACTTCGCTTGCGAACAAGATGGCCTCCACCACGAGGGATCTCAAAGCTGAAATCATTAATGGCATCGAGGAGATTATTGATGAGCTCGACCAAGTAGATGATCAAATTTCTAGTTACGCGCAGGAACAAATTTCAGAGAGAGAAGTCATACTCACACATGGTACCTCGAGGAGTGTTCAAAAGTTCTTGCTAAAAGCTGCGGAAAAGAGAAAGTTCACTGTAGTGGTTGCTGAATCGTACCCAAATGATCACTCAACAACTCATTCTACAGTTACAGGAACGGCGGAGCAGGACACCGAGGGCGACTTGAGCACAAAAACATTTCTGAAACCACTTTCCGCTGCTGGAATTATTGTTACTCTTATAACCGATGCCGCAGTATTCGCAGTAATGCCAAGAATCACAAAGGTCATTTTGGCTACCCATACTGTCATCGCCAATGGTGGACTGGTAGCTGCAGCCGGGGCACGCATCATCGCGAGAGCAGCAAAGTTTCATAGAATACCAGTCATTGTTGTTAGTGGTATTTACAAGCTCAGCCCTGAATATCCTTTTGAGTTTGAGTCCCTTATCGAATATGGCGACCCCGGAAATGTAGTTGGATTTGAGGATGGGGAATTTGTAGATAAGGTTGAAATCGACAATCCTCTTTTTGACTATGTCTCTCCTGATTTAGTTGAACTCTACATTACCAACCTGTAAGTTTCCATAACTTTCCTTCGACGAATAGTACTGACAAACTCAACAAGAGGACCCCACGCGCCTTCTTATCTATACAGGATCGTCGCAGAGCACTATAAACCAGAAGATATAAATTTTCACAAACCGGAACTCCAGTTTTAAATGCATTTTAGGTACCTATGAAATGTAGAAATGACTTTGTTTTGGCGGGGATGAAGAGTTTGGAAGCTATTCACTCTTTGTACTCAGGTAGTTTTAATACAAAATCATCCTCCGCAGCTCCATCCTACTCCCTCGAATTATGCATTTCATTTATAAGAGAAATGAATACACAAAAGGTGTCACCTGTGCAGCTTCTGCAACTTACACGACACGAATCAAGTTGCAGCGAAGGAGCTGCAACGTCGATTGCAAAGGTATGGTTCTAGGCCCTAATGATATGCAAGGAATCGTTCGAGAACTTTTTGGAAGCGGCAAGTCCCTCGAAAACAATCTGCAAATTCATCGCATCGGACGAGTTGCTGTTAAAGGCTTCAAATACAACACGTTACCCATAAATCCGGGACTCGGTGATACCGTGCTCGTGCCGTCTGGGTCTGTTGATTTCGAGTCTTAGTGGTGCAATCATCGAGGTTGCGTCTTAATCGGAATCACAATTTGGATTGCAATAACGTGTGTAATGTAGCCGAAGAACACATAGCCACGACTTCGACCACCCCATTCTCTTGATACCAATAGACATCCTCGGCCGTCTTGCCATCGTGGCTACTTCCTTCCCAACGCGTAATCTTGCAGAACAATGACCCATTTTCTTCTCGCTTAAGCATCTAGTCAGAAGTAGGGGTTTGGTAGACAAAAATGGCTGTAGATGTGGGGTGGCTAACCTGTGAGCGGCCTAAATCTACAGATATATCATGTCGACTTCAGTTGTCCAGCTCAAGCTGCCACCCTCTCTTTAATATCTATACAGCGTACAAACATTTAATTCTTCCTCTGTCGCTCTTTTTTCCAAGCTTCTCTTCGCAACAATTATTTCTATGTGGCGCGGTGGAGACTAGCATCGTACGACATGGATCAATCTGCCCCTCCCCCATACAGCGAAAGAGATGTCTTCTCGCATCCCAATACCACGATGCGTACACTGTTCACGACAGAACCAAATAATGCCTCGAGACTGAGTGCAAGAATACGATCTGATACATCATCGAATGAAGGTTCATTAATATATACTCCTCCCTACTCGCCAACAGAGCCTGATCCTCGACGTAAGTATAACACAATCAGTTCCTTCGAATGAAAACGTGCACATATTGAACTTGGACTGCATGTTTCATTGACCGAACCAGGCTCGCTAATTGCAGGAGATTTAATGCCATCAAGATATCAACTAACCCTTCACCATTCTAGGCTCAAACAATCACTTCGAATACCATTCTGTCCATAATTACTTTGAGTCACGGAAGATACCACAACTATTTTCAGCTTCAAGCACCATTCAGCATACTATATATATATCACCTAGAAGTACACCAAGTGATGTCCCTATTCCACCTTCCGCGTCAGACAACGGGATCACGCAACAAGATTGGTCGACCTTCCTAAATCACTTATTGCCTGATCATAACCTTAATGCCAATAACGATGTAGCAAATCGTAAGCTAAAAGCACGGCTGGTCGACGAGCGGATGCAAAGGCTTACGCTCAGTGAGGGTCATCGTTCCAGACTTGACCTCCATGAAGTTCAAGCGCAGCTGAGTTCTCCACGTCAACCCATCACCTCGTCCGATACAGACTGGGCAGAAGGAGTAGACGAAGTAATCAAACTTTGGAACGAGGGGTTCTTTGTTTCCCGTGGATTAAAGATCGTTCGCATTGACATAGAGCACCCTGAGCTTCATGAGCGATGGCACCGTATGCCTGGTTTTTGGAGGCCCGATGAAGAGGATCTTTCGCACTTCCCGGAAAGTAATCGAAGACGCGGAGGCATTTCTAGACGTCATTCTCCGTGTAGTGGACGATCTCAAGAACCTACAATCGGTTCTATGGGTGCAAATGACGGAGAGGTCAAAATTAGAAGGAATGGTCTCGTTCCTGACTCCAACGGTTTGCGTATCGGTAACATGTTCATAGCAGATGATGGTGGTTTACGAACAGACGGAAATTGGGGGCTCAAAGTCGATGAACATGCTGCTAGTATCAGTGGCCATAGCTCTGGAAGAAGGGGAAGGGGCGGTCTACATGCTCAGGGAGCTGAGCAAGGATCGGCACATGAGCCAGAAGGGCGTCATGGGAAAAGAAGGAGAGGAAGAACCGATCAGCATACGCATGAGTCTGACCGAGGACGGGCACACAAACCGGGAGAGTGGCACTGTGGGCGATCTGGAAGAAGAAGAAGAAGAAGAGATCATTCTTCTTCTTCTTATTCTTCCTCATCTAGTTCCATTAGCTCTGACTCTGACGCATCGGTTGGTTCCCTACCTGACTACGATCATCTCAAAGACCAACAACTAGTAGCCACCAGAGATACAATAATTGCGTGGCTCAATCACTCTGAACATCCCATGACGAGACAGACGGTTCGGAAAATGAAACAAGATATCAAATTCGCCAAGAAGAATCCCGAAGGAAAACCCACCTCTCACGAGGATCTCACTTCCCTACGAAGAGAAGTCAAAGATCTGCTTAAAAAGTTCAAAGACGTGAAGAAGTCTCAAAAATCAGTAAGGAAAATCATGAGAAAAGAACAGCGGAGACTCGAGAAAGCGCATAAGAAAGAACGAAAGAACATGGGGAAAGCGAAACGGAAGGCTGTGAAAAAAGATAAAACTTTGAAGAGGGAGGAATTCCCAGCCGAGTTTCCAACTCTTATATCTATGCCACACCATCTCGGCTTTCCCGAGTTTTCAAGCGTGCGGCTTTCACCGCTTCCAAATATGCCCAGCCCTTCGTTTTACACACGTACTTTTGAAACACAGAATTCTAGCATTACATCTTTGCACGAAACTTTGCATATCTTACCCTCTCTTTATCCCCAAGCTCAGGTGCCCACGCAGGATCAGCTCCATAATCCTCTAGTATCCGCTCGTCTTACATCTTTCTTATCTCAAACCGCATCGGTGATCCATAGCCAAGCTTCCTCTCTCCTGGCTAGAGCCCAGGCCAAAGAAGTGGAAGCAAGGACTCTGAAAAACTCTTCGGATATTGATGGTAATAATGTGTATGCCAGTCAAAATAGGAGTAACAGGGAAAAGAGACAAGAAGTAGAAAGACTTCTAGAGGAAGCAGAGGAATTGAGAATGGAAGGAGAGAGATTACGGGTGGAAGCCGTGCAGATGGATGAGGAGTTTGCGAGGGAGATACAGGAGCGCGAGTTTGTACGCAGGCGAGGTTAGGTCGGCGGGATCGTGGAGAGATGAATTTGGATGGGTGTACTAATTAATTAATGATGGGTCTCATTTCAATGTCGTCGAAGCTTGCTTTTTACTTATGTACCTAATTAGCACCGAACATAATATTATGGGGGTTATTTTCGTAGGCTTAGACGTATGCACTTTAATTACTTCTTAAATCCAAAGTCAAACAGTCTGTGAAATGATACCTGAAGTCCAAAGAACAACGTCCAGTTCTCCTCAAACATGAGGGAAGATGTATTTGGATATATCTCTATATACGGCAATGAGAGTTTAAGTAAACATATAACTGGAATTTAGTAATCATTTGTTTCGACTTGCAAGGGATCAGAGTATCTAGTAATCCAGATTGCAATTGATCAATGAGAAAGCTCTAATTTTTGGGTCATCCGTTCTGAAGATTCGGAAAGATTTTAAAGATTAATTCTAACTTGAAAGATTGTAATCCATTATTATTTCTATTTGGAAAAGATTTAGTTTGTTCGGACGGATGATTAAACAACCCACTGGTCTGCTATATCTAACTCTGCCAGTGATCGCCAATTGCTGTTGTAGAACATAGAATACGAATATTATTTCTGTTTCATATCATCTCAATATATATTTAATCCCATCAACATGTAGGTCTGAATGTGAATATCTTTCCCTCGACCTCATCTCATTACCTTCCCGGAACATCCAACAGGACACCACCATCAACGGCAATAATCTCCCCATTAACATAATTATTCTTCGCCAAAAACAACACCGCCATGGCCATCTCCTCGTCACTGCAACATCATTAGCTTTTCCGTATCTATAAACCAAGAGAACAAAAACATACCTTCCAGGTCTCTGCATAGGAACGTGACCCTTCTCCTGAATTTTCTCATCCTTCAAATGACTCTTCTGAGTCTCATCACTCTCTCCCACCGTCATCTCACTTGGAAAATATCCCGGCGCAATACTATTAACCCTGACTCCAATCTCTTTAAACTCATAACTCATCAATTTACTCAGATGCACCGTCGCGCCCTTTGCCGCATTGTACGAAAAATGACCCTGTGCATGTCTCATGATACCGCTCATGGAACTAATAACAATGACTGAAGAAGACATGCTCCCATGAACCTTATGGGCAGCTTGCAGCAGTGGAAGAAAGCATACGGTAGTGAAATAGACAGCCGATACATTGGTATTGAACGTAGTTCCCCATTCTTCAAAACTTTCCGAGTTGAAAAGTTTATTTTTCAGTTCGACAGCATCCGAAGAATTGGGTTCTGCTTTAGGACCCGAAATCCCTGCACCAGCGAGAAGAAGACTGATATATTTTTCTTTATTACTGATCTCAGCTACGAGATCTTCAAGGTCTTTCTTGCTAGTTACGTCGCAGGGGCCAATCCTACGTTCTCTCAGATATTTATATAATGATGAAGAGGACAAGGAACTCACGGGATGATGGAACCCCCAGATGTTGGGGAATGCTGCTTGGCTGCATTTTCGAGGGCTTCCATTCGACGACCTGTGATGTATACTTTTGCGCCATTAGCAGCTAATGTTTGTGCTGCCCTATTAAGTTATCAGTATATACATTCCTCCAAATCGGGAAAGAGAAAATACATCAAACCGATACCAGTTCCTCCTCCTGTCACTAGGCAAACATGATTCTTCATTGAGAAGAGGTTCTCTGCCCGGAGTTCATTTGTACCAACCATTTTGTATAGAGTTGGAAGTGAAAGAGAACTTGATGTGTGTTATGGAGATATAGATGAAGTAAAGTAAAGTTGTAGAAAATAATAGACTTAATAGACTTGTTGGATTAATTTTTAAACAAAAACTAAAAACTCAACTTACTCTTTTGCTTCTCACTCTTCGGAGTACTTGCTCCTTGATCTGATGTCTGATGTCTGATGTCTGCTAGTCCCTACGTCACTACGCTTTGGTGCCGTTTGACGCGGGGAAGGAACCGCTCCCGGTAAAAAGCCAATTCGAGCCTAGAAATCGATCAATGTCGAAATTCATCGATAAAGGTTTATAGGAAATAGCTCTACTCGTATTACTACTCTTACTACTACTAGGTAATAGGTAGATAGGAACATCACATCGATGAAGAACTTACCAACTTCAACCAGGATGCTCCGAGGTCAACTCATAAAAGCAAAAGTCACTTAATCATTTAGATAAAAATCCTCATGGGCGCCTGGGATACATGGATGAGATGCAGACATATTTATTATCCTGTATATTCCCTCAAAATTGGGTAAAAATCATCATTATAATACCAATTCTGCTCATGACCGCCATTTTTTCATAGGCCGTGGTAAGTGTAAGACGATTAACTGCATCGTGCAGTGCCTTACCTCTCCTCCTCCTCTCTCCATTGTTGTCCATGCCAAAGCCTCCCGTGGTCGAGCTTTTTATGATGATTCCTGAACCAAGACCTTATTCTCTTCCAATACCTTGGCCAATTCTCCGTTTTGGTGCATTGTAATCAAGATATCGCATCCTCCTATAAACTCCTTATTGACATAAAGTTGGGGTATGGTTGGCCATTCGGAGTATTCCTTAATTCCTGTTTGGAGTGTTTGTCAACATCTACCTAGCATATATCAAAAAGTAGACGTTCCAAGACTAACCTTGTCTTAAACCTTCATCCTCTAGAACGTTAAGGGCAGCGAACTTCTCTGGGTCCAAGCCCTGTAGACTCAAGATTTGGATGGTTGCCTTTGAGAAGCCACACTGTGGATTTTCCGGTGTACCTTTCATGAAAAGTACAACAGGCTTCGAACCAACAACTTGATCAATCTGCTTGCGGACTTCCGTTGAGAGATATCGAGAGGCGATGGGAGAGAACCGAGGGGCCGAGAATTTGGAGGCAAATGTTGCTGGGCGGACAGCTTGTCGGAAAACCTAGATAAGAATTCGTTAGTACTTCAAGTAGTAAGACTAGGCTGTGAACTAGCTAGAGGATGTGACATACCGACGAAAACATTGGTCTGGCAATCATATTCAATATGATGTATTGTTATACAGGATTGTTGATGTTTGATGCTTTTTTTTGGTGGCCTTGCCTCTTGCTTGATAATATTCAAGACGGAGCTCGGGAGAGCTAACGTGGGCCATTATCGAGCCAATCAAAGTTTATGGTATGTAATACTTATCAATATCTGCATTCAGCCTCGCCCCTCGCAACCATTCGACAATGCTAGGTAATCAATCATATAGCTAGCTACCTAGGTACCTATATTACAACATCCAAGAACAATGAAACATTGTGAGTGAATAGTAAGATCTTACGTACCTACTTGAGCAGTGCTACTTACTGGTCGGGAGTATTTTCTCACCCCTCTCTGTTTTTCATCTATTCCCTTCTCTACCATATATCAAAGTTCACAACCGCATAAAAGAACTCTTTACATCCAATCTCAAACGGCTTTCTAAAAATCAATACCGTTCACATATGATTATTACGTCATTCTCCAATATCTGAACCCACATTCCACAATCAGATCTGCTCAATGTTGCAAATGATCCATTCCGAAAATGATGAGCACCGAACGCGAGTCTCGGGAACCTCACAGCCATTCACAGCTGCGGCTCATACTTCCGATGGTAAACGACATCTCCTTCTGGCAGCTAGTGGGTCTGTCGCAACCATCAAAATTCCCAATATCCTAGCTGCTTTGTCGCCTTATATCGGTCTCTCCATATGTGTAATCCTCACCAAATCTGCCACCAATTTTCTTCAAGGTCAAAACATTGAACAACCACACATTGATACTTTCTATCGATATCCCAATGTACAAGGAGTATTTTTGGACGAGGAAGAATGGGTTCATCCTTGGAAACGAGGCCAGAGTATTTTGCATATTGAGTTGAGAAGATGGGCGCACATTCTTGTTATTGCGCCATTGAGTGCCAATACCATGGCGAAGATTACAGGTGGATTTAGTGATAATTTGCTTACCAGTGTGGTGAGAGCTTGGGACACTACTGGGGAATTGGATCCTCCTGCCGACGACGAGGAGCGTGTTTTCTGGGATCAGAAGAGGATTATTGTGGCCCCGGCGATGAACACTGCTATGTGGAGACATCCCGTCACGAAGAGCCAAATTAAGATATTGGAGAAGGAATGGGGTATTCGCCCTGATGAAGATGATAGTGAAGATTATGATTATGATGGATGGTTTGAAGTTCTAAGACCTCAGGAGAAGGAACTGGCTTGTGGGGATATTGGAGATGGAGCTATGATAGATTGGAAGGAGATTGTGAAGGTAATTGAGAAGAGGTTCTATTTGGAGCTCCCTTGAGAAATCAGGGGCTGGCGAATTTCTGGCAAGGATTTGTAGAACCATCATTCTATTTTACATGAATGGCAGGTATCTTGAGAACTGTTATGGTATTTATAAGCGGTTTTGGCGTAAGACTGGCGCAGGAAATGCAATGCATCTGATTTACCAGGTATTTTTTTTTATTTCTATCTGCCGTGGGCAGGCCTTGGTATGTTCAGCTTAATCGTCTAGCTTTTATTTAATACCTATATTCAAAGCGACTCTTGGAAGTTAGGCATGAAAAAGATGTTGTTTTACAAGAGCAAGTTGAATTTTCAAATGAGGTTGAACGTTGAAAGTCTGTCACTCCATAAGGACAACTTCAATGTTGATGACGGAAAGGTTGTTAGTTAGATTAATGCTTAATGCTTAATGCTGTTGTGTTTTGGCCATGCCCTTCAATCCAGCATGAACAGATTGAAGGTGACATTGAGGTCGCTCCTTCCTCCTTCCTCCTTCAGAACTTGCGGATTTTAAGCGATTTTCACTTTCAAAACAATACTTTAAGAAAACATGTAACTGAATTTATCATCCGCAAATAATCTGACTTAATACGTCTCTCCTCCTCCAGTTCACCTTTACATCGCACAATCCAGGAGCAGCAATGACACGTCAAGCAAACCACCAGAAGGCTTCCCCTGGTAATCAAAGTAAAGCGCATGCAGCAAAATCAAAAGTGTCAAAATCAAAAGCTTCCAAAGAATCCAAGGTTACATCAACGCCAAAAGCTTCTCGAGAGCAAACGAAGAGATGTGTTCTTGTCAAACCAATTGCAAAGAATGAGATTCGAAAACTTCAACGACTCGATAAACATGCACGCTCATTTCAGATATCAAAACATGCTCACATAGTTGAGTCATCCCCTCAACCTGATGATCTTTCCTCTGCTTTTCATGGTGAGGATTTGATCATTACACAGTTTCCCTGTTAGTTCAAGACTAATTTGAGAAATAGAATCACTTGAAGGAGCAAGAACCCATGTACTAAACACCGGAAAAGCAGCCTTTGACGAAGTTCACGAGGTTCTTATCCAGAAAGTTGCCGAAAATAAGGCAAATGACCGTTCATTCCTCGAGAATATCTCGCGCAATGTAGCTGCCCTCAGCGTGCCCTTGGCCGAAGAGAAAATTGAAACCACGGTGAAGCGTAAGAACCGACGAGTTCCCGAAGTAGTCGAGATTGGCAAGCGCGTCGATCAGTTCAGGCAGACAATCGAGAGCGAAGAGAATAAGCTAGAGGATTATTGGAAACAATGGGAGAGCTTACAAAATGAGTTTGTCAAATTTGCTGCTCAAGTGTTTGGTGGTGATGCTATAAAGGAGAAAGAAGAGGATGAGGGATATCGTGTTGACATGCAGTTGTTAGATGCCGAGCACACGACGCAGATGAATACGTTACTGGAAGAACTTGATGAAGTAGGACATGACGCCATTAAGATAATGAAGGCTTCCGAGAAGGTATGCTGTAAACCGCTTAACTACGTACTTGACACTGATGAACTCTTTTCTAGGAAATTGATGTCAAGGCAGACAAAGTACGACAAAGAATTGTGGGAGCAATGATGTGGTGAATGGAGTTCCAAGGTGACCGCGCATTGAGCTCGTGAGACGTACCATGTGGGATTTGATGCAAGTAGGCATAATAGCCATATTTTAATATCTGCTCACATACCCAGGGAGAATGATGATGCCATGTTTTATCTGCTGAGGGACGTTTTATTTACTGGAAATAGCTATGTACATATAATAACCTCGATGTTGAGGCTCCAATTGAACTTTCAATTAACACCTTTCATGGCCGAAGATTTTGCTAGGCCTGAGTTAGATTGCCATGGAGTTGGTCTTCGATGGAGCCGTCTTTCTGCCAACAACCGAACGTCAATTTCAACGTAACTAGCTCACTGGGCAATGAAACACTTTAGGATGTTGGAAGTGATGTTCTAAACAATCAAACACAACAAAGTTACTGTGAGAAGGCACTTATTCTTCATCATAAAAGCATTAGATTGCTATGCTAGTCGCCGTCTATGAAATTCAGAAAAGCCACCAGCGCTGATGAGAACCTATGCAAGAAAATGTCTATGCCCCCAAACCCAAATAAGTAACCGGCGCCGTAAAACGACTTATTTTCCCAACCACCCCGTGTGCAAACGCAAAATAAAAATGGCCCGGCTTATCGGAAAACAGTGCAGCACACAAGCACCTCCGAGCCAGCCCACTAGAGTACAGATAATCCAATCCAGTCCAGTAAAGGAAAGTGAATTGAATTATGCGCCAACTTCATCAACGACAACACCCCATTCATGCTCCACGTTTCCGTACATGATATCGACCAACCATTGCTTAATCTTGGCGGCGTACTCTCCACTGTTACCCTGAGACATGGGGATGTTGATGTCCTTTTCTCTGTAGTTAATCTGTGCGACGGGGACAACGAAGTATGCAGTTCCACAAGCGAAAGCTTCAATGACGCGACCTTCTTTGGCGGTCTCGGCGAGCTCGTCCATAGTGAAGTTGCGCTCGACAACTTCGAGTTCGGGGATGCGTTCTCGGACGAGTCTATAGTTTCAAGGTTAAAATCACTATTGCCAAAGTAATGCAATATGAGGTGTACTTACTGTAAAACACTTCGTCTGGTAACACCATCCAAGATGATCTTGTCCTTCAAAGGAGCAGTAATCAACTGCTTCTTACCCTCCTTGGTCTCCCACACAACCAAGAAGTTGCTGGCTCCAGCCTCGGTAACCATTCCGTCGAGCAACCACAAAACTTGGTCATAACCACGGGCGCGAGCTTCCGAGTTTGCCATCAAGGTAGGTCCATAATTGGCTCCCACCTTGGCGAAACCGAATCCGCCGGGCCAGGCACGAACACCTTCTTGACTGGCAAGAAGCTTCATGCCTTGGGGTGAATCCATAGCAGGCATGAAGGTGGAAATGACAAACATTGTGCATTCTTTGGGGGCAGCAACGCCAACTACGCATTTGGTGTTAGTGATGGACTTGTAGATACCATACTTGCATATTCGGACAGGGTTTGTCGACATGTTCATGCCGATATTTTGCAAAGGGCGTACTCACGTGCTCCAGCGCTACCAATCATGGTGGGTCGCAAGTAGAGGAAAGTACCAGGTTCTGGGAGCCATTTTGGTCCATCCACAGAAACCAGGTTAACGATGAGCTTTTGCAACTCCTTGGGATCAAATCCTGGCAAAGAAATACGTGTAGCGGAAGTGAGCATTCGCTGACAGTTGCAATCCGGACGGAATAATCTGAGCTTTCCATCGAATCCACGGTACATTTTCATGCCCTCGAAACATTCAGTTGCATAACTAAGATAGGTCAGTATATTTTTAATACACAAACGGCGGAGAAATGCAAGATGGTCCTGTCTGTTTTGTGATACAAAAGGGTTTTTTTTAAAGATTCGACTAGAATATCACCCCGAAACAGAAAGAATGGTGGCTATGATTCAAAGCCCCCAACCAGAAAACAAAAAGCAACTTACTGCAAAACGGAAGCTGTAGGAGCAAGTGAGAGATTTCCATATGGCTTCAGTTCTGGTGCACCCCATCCAGTTTTGTCACTCCAAACGGCTGTGATCATATGGTCGGTACATTGAGAACCGGTATTGATGATTGGATCTCCTGCCGCAGGAACGCTCATCGGCGTTGTAGATTTGGTGATTTTAAGTAAAGATGCATCGAGGTGAGGAAGAGTGCCGAATTCAGTGGTTGCAATCTTTTTGGTGACAGCGGCAGCTAGGAGTTCATCGGATTGTTGAACATCCTTAGTAGGAGTTTGTGAAATTGCTGATGGAGCCATGGCTATTTGTTTTGGTGGTAGTCAGGCAATTGATGCCTATTAGAAGAAATAAAAAATGTAGAAAGATTTAAATTGTAAATTGTAAAATGGAAAATTGAAGAAATCTTAAAGATTTTGATGTAGAGTTGCAGGTGATCAGAAATTGAAGGACAAAGAAAGAATTTATAGAGAGGGTCTTAAGGAGTCGTATAAAAAATTGAGTCACAGTCTAACAAACAATTTCATTGAGGGAGGGGAAAACTAGTAGAAACATGCACAGATAAGATCAAAAACCATAAATAAGTGAAAAAACTCAAACTCAACCTTATGGCACTAGCCAATCTTTATTAGAATACTCCGCCAGCATCCTATTTGGGTCCTCTTGGCGGTCCCCAATCAAAGTATGACTATGAGGAATTGAGATACTTTATCAGTACGTACGAGATATTGTAGGTCGTCAAGAATCTGGCTAGTGGATCATTGCAATGCAAGGAATTTCAACTATGGAAGCAACGGCACGGAGGAGATAGGAAAGAGATATTCAATACCGAGTACTATATGTCAGTTTGTCAGAACAAGCATTAGTGAACGTTTACTCAGATCATTGCATGTTCGAAAGGTAGACCCATGCAAAGATATAGATAGACATGTATTGCTTTCTCTGAATATCTATCTCTATGAAAATAGTACATTTTGCCAGGTGGTATGGATAGTAACACGACATTGTTCGCTGCGGGCATTATTCGGATCGGAGGCGGACTTAGATGCTGATGATGAAATGGGTGTTGAAACTTGACGGTGTTGAAGTTGCTGTGGAGATATGATGTCGTTAGTTGGAATATTTTTCTTTCTGCAACAAAAAGGAGTGTCATTATTGAAACGCTTATCAGCGGGTAACGGTTACATTCGGAAATCAAAACCGAAAGATGTGCGGGAAGTCCACGACGTTTCATACTATAAAAGTCACAAGCACATTCGTAAGCTTATAGATTGTTGTCATTAATATTTATTTAACGTTTAGGATTTGCTCCAATATTCTCTCTTAGCGGTGAAGAGACAAGATCGAACCATGGCACGCCCTTTGTCAATTAGTCAATATCTATATGTAAAACTAGGTGGTATCTATGAACTTTTGGCCTCCTTGCTATCCTCTGCAATCACCGTGAACTATTCCTTGGAGTTTTTAAACACAACTCCTATACCGGGTTCTCAACGACAGCTCTATGCTGAACTTTCCTTCAATCGCTGTTCTTCTTCCATGCGTTCGCGTGTCCTTTGAGCCTCCTCACCAATACCCTTCACCCCCTTGACACGTTGTCTTTCTTCATACATGTCTCGACTTTTCAATATACGTTGTACGATTTGACCGGCGTTGACAAATGAAAATTCGTGATTTCCGATCTCACGATAGATTCCCATCTCCTTTGCAGCAACGTATGGATCATAGGTCAATGGCATGAAACTTGTTGGTCCATGGTACACGGCATCAGGCACTCCCCATGGAGTTGTCGTGAGATACGCCTTCGTTGGAGTGAAGGGGGCACCAAAGATGACGGCGTTAACATACTGCATAAAGTTAGATATGTCATTTGGGAAAGGGTGTGGAACGTTGAATACCTTGCATTGCAACACGCAAAGACCTCGTTCGTAGATATTCATGATAGGATAATTGACTCCCTTCCAATGATTGATAACTTCATCATCGTGAACACCAGCTACCACAAAACATGGCGCATAATCCGCCCCTTTACCAACACGTTCTTCTACAGCTTCTTTGCTATACCAGCCTTCTGCCTCAGCGAGCTTCTCCTCTGCCTTGATGACTTGTCGAAGAAATTCAATATGACCCGACGAAAAGAGATCAAAACCACCATCGACATAGACGACTCGCTGACCAGGTTTTGGTGTCGATCCTTGCATTAGAGAATTGAACACTCCTTTCTCATTCTCGGTCTCGTCTTCTCTGGCCGCAATCGAAGCTTTCCAAAACCAAACACTTGAGCCGGGGTTTAGTCCACTTTCGTCGGTAGCATACATTCGCATTCTTTCCGTCATGGCTTTCCCATCCACGTGCCTCTCCTCCGGAGTTCCTGAGCCATCTTCTCCAGCCAAGAGCTTGGGTAGCGACTTGATAAAGTGCGTTCGTGTGCAAAGTAACATTCGTCCTACCAGATCGGTCGTCGAGATACTTGGCGTTCGCTTTACAACCTTGAATCTTCCTGCAGCCTTGACAAATCGATAGCAATCTTCCCCACTGCTGTCCGAAGTAATGTCATCGCCATGAACCACATATTTACACCCATAATGAGAAATCCATGGCAGAGAGGTAACATATGGAGCATATGACACCGATTGTGTAACCCATCTGCAGGCATCTACTGCCGCGATTCTTGAGGATATGGAATCAGTAAATCAGTCCTCATCCAATGTTCGTCCTGAATTACCGTTCTTGTAGCGTCATGACCGTAGGCCCTTTGTTCTCGAGGATTGATTCATCGGAATGAATTCCTACCACCAGTTCCTTACCCAACTGTCGTGCTTGAAGCATGGCGCCGGCATGTCCTATGCAAAAATAAACATGTTAACATACTGAGTTGACAGTCAGGGGTAAGCTTCGAGATAGCTTCCTCGAATTGTATACAAACAAACATACCATGATGGAAAAAGTCCCAGCAACCATCCACCCATATTCTATCCTCTAAGATCTCAGGTGCGGCTTCACCGAATGGACCTTCTTCCTCCAATTTATCGGGCATGACGTTGAATTAACAGATTAAGGATTATTATTCTTTAGTTTTAAGGGTGATGTTTTAAAAAGGTATTTCACTCCTTCAATGCAGGTGGTTAAAGTTTAAGAACCATGGTAGGGGCTGCAACCTGCGGGGCATCTCATCCCTTTACCGCCCAGCAGCAGATCAGTCAATCAGTCAATAATCAAGGTATTTATCTTATCACGGTGGCATGGTCTAATGGTCCACTAGGTACCTTGTTAGAGACAACTTGACAAGGCTATACTACCTACATACGGAAGAGCATGGAGTAGACAATGGTACCGAGTACACAAATACTACAAATACTACAAATACAATCTCGGAGATGGTTCAAAGATAGAAGGTGACGAAAGAGTATTTTATTTATTCTCCGTAGCAAAAGTTTGTGTGCTATTACTCTTTACCTACCTACTCGATCAACCATTCGTCAATTTCATATCATTCATGCCTTTCTTTTCCACACTCAAATGCGCTTCACGAACCAGTCAGAGAAGCATGATTCTTCCGTACAGCTGTTGGAGGTAACGTTATCCCTTTATAGGAACCTCACCGTCTTCCACCCCTGAAAGTTGGGGTTCAATGGGCCGGCAAGCAGAACACCTATGTGGTTATCAGGTGTTCAAGCTATGCGTTACTAGATACCTACAGAGTAGATCATCTCAATTACGGGACATGAGGATAAGACAGGAAAGGGTATAGATATGGACCTCCGATTCCTCTTCTTACCATCAAATTTGTGCTCTTGTACTTCAACGTGTTCGAGTTCGAGTTCGAGTTCCCTGGGTTGTCCCTCCTTTTCCAATTTCATCTTGTTGATTTCCTTCATTTTGCAGAGTCGCTTTTGACGGTTGAAGTCTTCTGGATGAGACTTCGGTATTTCCTTTCTGCTCCACCCGAATAAAAATAATAATATTAGCATAATTCCCCAGCAGCATTTAATATATAACCCTTTTATTTCTTTTTCCCCTCTTTCCTTTTCGAGTTTCCTTTTCTTTCTTTCTTTTTAAAAATAAAAAAACAAAAGCACACCTAAGACACGATAAGATATAGAAGAGGAGGAAGAAGAGAAAAGTTTTCCAGCGACAACAATTGAGAAAAGAGTGCGAAGAAGTCACAGAAGGAATAGAAGGCGGGGCTATTTTGGCAACGACGGAAGATCAAGTTATCTATTTAGCCGAGATTTTGGCGCATCATGATGCATCGGAGTACATCCTCAAATGGACTGTTCAAAGGGGGTAACATATTTGGGGGCAGTAAGACTCCAACTTCTTCAACACGACCAGATACTAGCGGAGGATCTCCTAAGAGTGAATTGAATTACAGTCCAACACATCGACCAACACATCAGCCAAGGAGTTCGGTAACAGGATTCAGTCGCAAACCCTCCTTTTCCGCCTCTTCGCGCCATAATCGACGCAACAATTCCACGGCGCATTTGCATTCTACACTTCTACCTCATCTCCCAATATTTCCCACGTCGAACTCATCCGAGAAGCTTTCTGCGGCGAATAATCCCTATGTCGTACCAGTAATCATCCCACAACCACCCTCGGATCCTCGGCAAAGCATAGATAGTTACGATCGGGTCGTCTTAGCAGAATCCACGGGAGTCAATGCATTTGGAGGCGTATCACCACGTCAATCAATAGATGCCGAATCTTTTACCTCCACAACGCCATACTCAAACATGCTTGCCAGACCAGGAACGGGATATCAGTCTTCGGGGGGAGGGCCTGCGGGTCCTGGTGTGATGGCTCCTATGCAGCCTGGAAGTCCTACACTTGAGACCATAACCTATCAGCACATACAAGAAATGGCATCCAAGAGGATATCTACTCTGGACTATTTAAGAAAAGCGTATGATTGTCCATACCCCCTCATCACAATCCGTCTTGGAAAACTTAATGGACTTGGACAATGCTGACAACTCTATCTTAACAGTCATGAAGGAAGGGTCTATTGGTTCAACACATTACTATTCAACAAACCAGATTTACAACGAATGCCCTACTTCGATGCGCGCAAACTCGCCCGTCGCGCGACAAATTATCTTCTCCTCGGCCTTTCACTACCCACTATCCTCGACCTTAATTCATCAAGTCCCTCCGAATTCCTGCGCACGCTCAATGCGCTCCTGGGTGAATTTGAATCCTTTCAACAGGCGCATCCACCGGATGGATCGACGTCTTCTTCGTTATCGCGCGGCCGATTTCCCCAGATGTTTAAACGCACAACCATGATTACAAGTAAAGGAAGACGTACAAGCTCTGCGACAGAAATAGGATTACCGATGGGCAACGATTTCTCGGATACTAAATCTAATAATGGGAGTACGCCAAGTGGAGGTGGGAATGGCGGAACATCGTTCCCGGCGAGTGAGAACGATTTATTGCCCGGGGAGGAATATAAACATCTATTAACGCCATCTTTACCGTTCGATCCCGATTTTTATGAGACGTTTGCGACGCTGTGCGATGTGTTGATCGATTGCTATACGAGGTTGATGAGCTTAGTATCATCGCCGAAAGAGTGTAGTCCGCAGATTGCGGAAATGTTTACCAAGGCAGATGCTAGAGTCAGGAAGATCATCGTACAGGGAGTAGTGAAGGAGTTTGAAGATAGCAGCAGGGGTGGAGTGAAGAGTGAGGTCGCGGGCGTGGGAAGGGTGGTTCTTGGTGGGCTTATGTGAAGGATATTGTTCGTTTTGCATTTTATTTTTGGGTGGATTAACGGCTTGATACCATATGAATAACATTATGACGGGTTAGGAACGGAGGAAAGAGCAACGGCATTTGCATATATCTGCATCAATATATCATTTTTAAAACCTGGATTGTAATTTAGATGGGAACCAATATAATCTTATTACTAAAACGCAGATATAAACAAAAAAAAAAAAAAAAAAGCTTTTTGAAGTTCATCAGACACCATAACGCAATTGTGGTCATCAAATTATGAGCCGCTTTTTACACGGCTCAATTCAGTGCTTGACTCTATTTGGTAATCATCACCTGAACCGCTTTATGATCGCAACAACAAAGTCCAGCTCCTTCGACAGAGCTTCTAAGATGTGTGACTTCTGACCAAAGGACGACTCTTTTGGTGAGAAAAGAGTTGGAGTTTCGTGTCCCAATCATCAGTCGACATCATCTTTGCTTTCCTATAAGCTATAGACTCAAAAATGTAATTGAACTTCTTGCATCAAGAATAAGCCCCATCGAGTTACTTTCCCAGCTTTGCAGCGAAGGAAAGCAATCGCATAACTATCGATCTCGACGAATAAGCCTCATCTGCCATTAGCACTCCCATCTTAATCAAGAACATGTCTTCTACCACCCATAACCCATCTTCATCTATTTAATTGAAAACATTGCAAGGAAGCTCGGACTCATATCTTCATCCATATGGTCTTCCAAGCTCTGAACCCAATTGTCAAGAAGCTTCAGGATAATGGTACAAACGGCAGAAGGATGTATGAATTGAAGGTAAAGAATTGGTAGAAGAGAAGCCGCAAGTGCTTCTATGGCGGCGCGTTTCCGCAGTCCTAACTTTTAGAAAGTAGGGTGTCCGGGGACTTTCTCCCAAAGCATTAAAGTGAATTGAAACATCGATGAAGATATTTCTGTATGTGTGCTTCGAATGCGATTCTTTGAGCGAGAAGTTGTAGAAGAAAGAGGAAACAGGAAAATACCCCGGTGAAAATTTAAATTTTGTAGGAGGTTTGTGCGGCCGCTAGCGTGCGTCTAATCAACTCCATTAGCGTCGATTTTCTACATGAGCTCTGAGTGCCTTGGGCTGGAGAAAGCGGCCGTCTTTTTTAATTACGTGCAAGCAAGCAACCGTAGAATTTAATTGTTCAAACAAAAACGCGAACAAACGCGAAAGAGTTTACTTTTCCGAGGCGGCGCAGGAGATTCAACTGATTTTGCAGATATTCTATAAGTAAAAATGTCCGGATTATTTGGTACAGCGGCTACCACCACCTCGACGAACGCGGCCAATACTCTCGGTGATCTCTCGAAAGATATTCCCCTCAATAATCCTCCAGAGGATAGTATTTCCGATCTTTCATTTTCGCCAGTTTCCGAACATTTGGCTGTCGCATCGTGGGATAAGAAAGTGAGGATTTATGAGATTCTGTCAAGCGGGCAGAGTGAAGGTAGGGCATTATTCGATTTCGAGGGGCCAGTCTTCAGTTGTCACTGGTCAAAGGTATGTAAAAGTGTAGTCGGGGCCCGAATAAGGAGTATGCTGATGGTCTGGAATAGGATGGAAAGAAAGTCGTAGGCGCGGGGGCAGACAAAACTGCGCGTGTGATGGATCTCGAAAGCAACCAGACAGTATCGCAAGTCGCCGCGCATGATCAACCTATAAAGGCCGCGAGATTCTTCACAGCCCCTCAGACAAACGGCGAAATGCTTGTAACCGGATCCTGGGATAATACTATTAAGTATTGGGATCTGAGAACTCCTAACCCAGTCATTTCGGTGAACATGAATCACAAAGTCTACACCTTAGATGTGCAGAAGAACGTTTTGGTTGTTGGGACTGCAGAGCGATTTATCAATATCGTCGACTTGAACATGCCAGATAAGATTAAAAAGACCATTCAGAGTCCGTTGAAATGGCAAACTAGAGTTATTAGCTTATTCCCGGATGCGACTGGTTTTGCTGTTGGCAGTATTGAAGGGAGATGTGCGATTCAATATGTTGAAGACAAGGACGCCAGGTATGCAATTTTGTTCTCTGAACGTATCTTCACGAATTTTACTAACATTTCGAAGTATGAACTTCTCGTTCAAATGCCACCGCGATCCACCTTCAAACAACATGACCAACGTCTACTCCGTGAACGCGATATCATTCCACCCGATCCATGGCACTTTCAGCACTGCTGGATCTGACGGCACCTTCCATTTCTGGGACGGAATCGCCAAGCATAGATTGAAGGGCTACCCAAGCGTTGGAGGAACCATCTCAGCTACAGCATTCAATCACACAGGAAACATCTTTGCCTATGCCGTTAGTTACGATTGGAGTAAGGGATATTCAAGCAACACACCGCAGTATCCAAATAAGATTATGCTACATCCCGTGAACGCGGATGAGTGCAAACCCAGACCAGGTGTCAAGAAGAGGTAGATGGAGGCCGCACTGCACTTGAGAATATCGGGATGGGAAGTCGATGAATGAAAGACAGTTATACGCAAGAGGACTCCAAGGCTCGAGTAAATCTCTGGTCCTGTAGGATGGCTCATGGATCAATTGGACATACGATTAGTCCTAGGTCAAAAGCGAAATAAAGCACGGAAGATGAGAGCGGGAGGCCCCAGTCATGGGAGAAGAGAAGTTATTAGGGAGGAGTTAAGGACGGTTACAAAGCGATCAATACCAAAAATTAGGTCATATAGGTAGTAATGATATGAAGTGTATTCAAAGCCAACGAATGTATCACTCACGCTTGTATCCCGGAGTGTAACACGAGCATACACGATCCCATTTAGGAGTAATTGTACAACCCATCAATATTTCCATTACCATTTCCACTTAACCCCCAAATTCCCCCAATGCAGTTTAATCGAAACAAGTCTAGAATAGGAATGGTAACAGTCCGATCGCCTCGATCCCAAAATCTCCAAAGGCGCCCGTACTGGTGATTATACGATTAAAGAGAAAACCCCGTCTTGTCACGCCTTCAATTCATCAAGATTGAAATACACTAGGAGTAACTCTTTTCCTTCCCCTTCCCGTTTCCATTCCTCTTTCCGATGCTCTCGTCATCGCTTGCGCTTCCAACGCTATATCTATCTCTATCCATGTCATCTGTAGGCGACCTCACATGTAGCTCATCCAATTCACTTTCATCAAAATCCGCAGCCTCCACATCTCGAGCATTTCGCTTATTGCGGAAATCCTCTAGACCTGCAGCTCCTCTTGAACCACTTCTCGCGCCTGCTAGAGCCATTGGAGTATCGCCTCCGAAAATTCCAGCGTAACCGGCACGCTGGCGTCGTTCGCGCCAAATGTAATAGCCCCATGCTGATGCGGCGATAACCACAATAACTAGGACAATCTCACCAGATTTATAGTAGGCATTCCACTTCGCTGCTTCCAGACGCTCTTCCTCCGCCTCGGCGGCAGCGGTACTATTGGGATGGCCACCAACGGATGTTTCCAAACCTTTCTCGCCATCAATACGACTATCTGTTGGAGCGCCTCCAATACTGGCAATATCCACTTTCATGAATCTGTCGAGCATATCTCGAGTACGTCGAGCATAATCGAATGGGACCATGTGGGAGGAATTGTAGAAAAGGACATATGTCAAGTTGCGCGCCTCTTGCCAGAAACCCGCTGGCTCGCCTTCAAATTCCCAATCTCGTCGTGGTGCCCAAGTTCCTGATCCAAGTTCAAAACCTTTGCCTCCATTCCATTCCATATTGCTGATCAGCTCTTCAGTGCCAATGTGGTTGCAAATCAAATCCTCGGCACCGGAAAATAATATGGTAGGGACTTCTGCAAGTAGTTCCGGTAAGATCTGGATAGAAGGCTTAGAGTTCGCGGCTCTAAAAGCGCTGCCAACAGCACCGTTGCACTCGGTCCACCCGGTCCTCTTTTCGGGCGAAATATGAAGAGCTGCAACCACATCCGATCGGCGCAGGTAAGGGGTGACATTGACTAAATCAGGAGGCCAGTTCATACCACAGCTTGGGTAGGAGTCCTTCAACCTCACATCATACATATTGTAGCATTGCATATTACCATCGGAGCCTTTGCTTTGCGTAGTCGAAAGAATCTCTTGCAAGATCTGTTCACACTGGCTGTTATCAACCTTGTCTCTTCCACCGTTCTCGTTCAGCATTTTGGTACAAATAGCTTGTTGGGATTCCAGTTTCTTTGCCTTTTCACTATCCTTCTTGACCAGCCCCTTCTCGTACGCGAATGGAAGATAGGACATGTATTGTTCGACTGGTGATATCCACCCATTACCAATTAGCATTCCCTTGACTGGCCACTTGTGTTTTGCGTCAGGTTTCTTGTTTCGTTCGAGAATCGCTTTTGTGATGTAGGGAATGTGCTGTCCTGCATAAGATTCTCCCGCAAGGTATAGCTTTAAAATAATCAGTAATCCGCGTAGAAACGATTGAATCGGACTATACTCACATCATCATGCTCATACTCAGGAAATAGCGCAAACCATTTTTCCAAAAATTGGACGAATTGGTCTGCCATCTCCGGCAAATCATGAATGTAGCTGTCCGAATCCACGAAACTGAATCCTGTTCCTACCGGATTATCCACGAACATAACATTCGCGAATTCATCCCACGATCCTGGGTTGTATTCGAGTTTTGGCCCATTGGATCCGTCCTTAACTCTGTAAGGTCCAATCTCCATTAAAGCTCCATCCTCAGAACTGCAACCCGGACCACCATTCAACCAAATTACCGTGCGCTGTTTGTTGGCAATGTGTCTATTTTGAAAATGCCAAAAGAATATATTTCCGTGATGCTCGGGGGTGACCTCAATATGCCTGCAAAGGGCGTGTAAGCTAGATGTGGTAAAATGTAATGGGAATACAACTTACCCAGCATGCATCTTGAGCAATGGTCCAGCCGGAGCACCCGGTAGAGAATGAACGAAATAATCCCCGGCGGTTTTATCTGCTTGGCCCACGGAGGGCATCAGCGATACAGACAATAATCCCCATACTGTCAGCAAGGCTGAACTGGTCTTGGTAGTCAAAGATCGCATTGTGGATAGAGACGGCCAATTCGATATAGACAACCCAGAAAAGGGTATCTCAGAAAGGTGTTTGTGAGAATCGCGTAGTCGCGAAGTTCGAATATGCTATCATCCAACGATAGTATTGAGATGGGAAGGAGAGGTTTCTTGAATGTGATAGATTGTGGACACAGTTGGTATTGATTCTGTCTTTGGGGGAATCGGCGGCTTTGTTGTTACTGATACAAGAATGATTGTTAGGGACACCCTGTATCGCTAGGTCCTGTACACGCTATTGGACCCTAGCGAAGTGAGACTAAGTGAGACTCTGTAAGAGGAGAGGGTCGAAATGCTCAAGCATAGATTTTCAGTGGAGTGAATTACGAAAGCAATGCGTATCTTGAAGAACTTTGAAATTACATTTATCATACATAAGATCTTACCAAAGAGCTCGAGGAGAGACACAGCTCCCGTGAAGCAATGTACCAACCATAGCAGTGATTTTTTCCAGAAAGTTTTCGTTTTCATTCCTCGCCGACTTCACAAAGAAAAGACCTTCAATTCCTCATCTTATTGTGGCCCATTTTCGGTTTCCTCTTCTACGAAATGCGAAATCCGAATCCCATTGTCTTTGTAAAGTTCCACCTAGGGTCCAGAGTGTTTCGCATATTCATGTACCGCGGACCTTGGCTCTAACATGAGTCCCGCTGTAACATGGCCCGGACCTTCATGGACAAAACGATCGTAGCTATGTTAAGCTATTCCTGGCCCTTGCGGTGTCTTCTCAAACCCAAACTTCTCTGCTCTAGTAAAAAGAGAATCGAACTGTTGACTCTGGTCCAAGGATGCTGTTCATTGTGTTTTTTTCTATCATTTGTTGCGATTGTTTATATTCAGACTCTTGGCGAAACAGCGTATTCGCCTACTCAATGATAACTCAAGTGAGCCTTGTTCTAGAATTGCAGGACGACGTTTGACGAGAATAATAGTCCTTATATAATACAATTTCTTACGTCTTCTGGTGTTCACCCAGAACTATGGAAATGATGTGATAGCATGGCATGGCATTGCATTGCATGTTGCCACTGCCGCGCTAATGGTGTTTGTATCTAGGTATCCCGCGGAACTTCCACAATCTTGCCTCCTAAAACATATCACCGAATCCCTTTTCTGTGTCTTTCTTAATAAGTTCAACCATCCCCTATATCGCCAATCAGTCTTTTGTACATGAACAACACATGACGAGATTTGCGAACTTACCTCTGGCATGATGGGCTTTCCATTGGCGTCCTTGACATAGCGAAAAGGCATTTCTGTACTTTCATTCTTGTTGACCCGGAGTTCTGGATAGTCAATGTATGGGATCCTGTCTAGTGGAACTACAAATAAGTCAGCATCAACTTTCAGAAGTAGAAGATAGGTCGAATCAGCTGACTTTTATCTTGAGTAACCATTCTTGTACAGCGTACTGCGGTATCGGTAGTCAGTTGGATGGGGCCAAGCCGGCGGCCTTCAAACCCTTTCTTTCTCAGTTCAGAAGTTCGATCTCTAGGTGGGTCATCTCCTAGAGCACAGCATTTCAGCAACTACTATATGCAGATAAGGTAATGCAGTGTACGAACCCAAGATTCCACCGAAAAGGAATACATCAAAAAGGTCTCCATCTTCTGGACTCAACTCCTTGATAGCTGATGGATCAAGCAAGCAAACACGAGACTTATTTTCCGCATATAGGGTTTCGACACTTTGGCCATCTGCTGTGAAACCTGGCACGGCTTTCAAGACGTCGGGTATGGTCAAGGTGGGAGGTATTGACGACAGGCAAAACTTTGCACCAGCCTGATTGGATTCCTTAGCTATGGTGATGTATTCAAGCTCAGACCATGGGCCAAGCTCCTCGTCGAGGTGCTCAACGATGTAGGTTTTTTGGGCCATCTTTGGATAGATATCTTAGCTAGATACTGAGATATAAACTTTCAGGTCTAGTTAACAAAAGACCAATAGGAATTTAGGTGCAAGGGTGAAAAGGAGTCAACGCGGGATAGATGGTGGGATAAGTTCTGGTTCGTTGCGGGGTAAAAAAAGTCTTAAGGGATGACTAAAATGATCGATGATCATATATGATGATTGATTGGACTCTGACTCGTGCCCACGACAGACTGTCCCTTGTGCAAGGACTTCAAACTTGATAGACCAAAAGATGTGCGGGGATTGTGATGAAATCAATCTCGTGATTGTATGTTGAGTAGTTTGAGGCCAACCGATTTAACTTTTCCTTGAGTCCTCGGGTTGATCTTTGCGTATCTAAATACTGTAGAAGAGGATGTATGCGCGGCCTACAGGGGGAAAAAAGGAAGAGACGATTAAGATGATACTGTATATCCTTTGATACCATCGATCGGTACAACAATGTGATAAAGGGGATACAAAATAATATCCATTCAAGACGAGAGTTAAATGTGTACGTACATTGGTTTTTATCGGATATAATATAATCTTCGTCCTCTATTCACTCGTGGTGCTCTCCTTGTTTGTTCAGCTGTTCAATTAATTTTATTTTTTTTCTTTCCAGGTGAAAACTTAAAAGCTGGAAGGTCTGGATTGTCTAGATTCTAAATTCTGCATGAAATTCAATTGTCCAAGTCAAGCGAGCGAGCGAGAGAGAGAGAAAGAAGAAGGGACGTAACCCCACCATAACGCTATCTATCGGTCGGTCATTCTGAGCTGTTCGTGCTGCCCCTTCCCCCTCTAGAATATTTCATTTTCATTCCCTTGTTTGTACAAGTTCAATCCAAATTCTTACCAAATTCGTAAGAACTTTATTTCTCCATCCAAGAGCCATCAACCGTTACTCAATCTTCTCTCTATACAGTCATTCAAGTCTATCTTTCCATTTGATTCACTACTTTCACGTCTACTTCTACTTCTACTGAGCCCACTCATTAGCCACAATTTTACACGCAGTCGCTCGCAGTACGGTTGCACCTTGGTTATTTCAGTGTAGTTCTTCTGACGACAAAGAAGAGAGAGTAAATAACCATTTGACTCCAAAAAAATAATCTCGAACGCTGGAACAGCTGTAACAAGTGGACTGTCTATAAATCCACCAAATTCCCCTAACCCGAATTCAAAGAGATTCGGCGGAAACTCATCTTCAAGATGAATCCTTTACAAAAGAACAAGATCGACATTGCAGTAAGTAATATCTATTTTATTTACCCCTCAATCAAGTTACATTTATCCAACCCACCCAATATACTAACTTTACGGCCTCGTAGTCTCTTTCCCCTGATGAGCAACGACTCTTCCGTCTCTATGGCAAACTTCCCAGTAAAGCCGACCATTTGGCCAAGCAACTCAAGGAACGTAAATATTTCGACTCTGGCGATTATGCACTCTCCAAAGCTGGCAAAGCATCTTCCGTCGATACCGGCAGCGTCGGCTCTGAACATCCCGTCCCAGAAAATATCCCACATCTCTCATCTCCAAGCGTCAGCAGCGCCGCACAGGGTGGTTCTGGTAACACAAATGTAGGACCCGGATCTGCACATCATGGCAGTATCACAGGACTGGGATTGGGTCAGCAGAGTGGAAGTCCTGTGAAGGAGAGCAGTTTTTTACATCGGGAGACGAGTATCGATGAGGCAGATAAGAAGAATGATGGAAGCGCACAGCAACCAGGAGATGGTAGTGTTAGTCCACCGCCTGTCAAGGGAGGTATTCCAATCAACGGATGAAGGTGCTGTGGAGGTATTTACTACGTGTGCGTCTGCGTGGGATTCGGCGTTATGGGGCTATTCAACGACATGATGATTGATGGTTTAGGATGATGCGGCATTCTTTGTACATGTTCGTTTTTTATGCCAGCTATGATAGTCAGGCAATATGCCAATGCGAAACGATGAGTTTAGTTAGGATTCTCAATGCATTTATTGCATCATGACATTATCTTTGTGATATCGAGATGAATGAATTTGGTGATTTGGTTCTATGTCTCTTGGATCTATCTAATCTTTTTGTTTTTGACACGGAATAACGCTTTTAAATAATGGTTTTCATATCTGGACATCACAAATCAACTGCTGCTGCTGCCATTTTGCTTGCTCCTTCGAAAGTCTTGTTTCCTCCAATGAATCCTGCTGCGTGAACAAACACACCTCCTGGGATACCAGTAAGTTCAGACAGTTCCTCGTCTCTGAAACCTCTCCATGCCTCTGGCAACGGTTTCCTACTCTGGAAAGAGTCTTTACTAGCTGGCACACATTGGATTCTCCATTTCGCATCTGGAGCTGTGTTTTCGGGGTAGAGAACGTAGAGTATTTCGTTTTCGCTCTTCTCTTCATCCTCGATTGTGTAAAGATGGTCCTTCCATGGGACAGATTGGCCCTCAAATACCAATATCCTTCCCTTCGAATCGTACTGCAGACGTTTGGCATATGCTTGCTGAACAATGGCTCGAGCTGGTAACCATGACTTCGTGTAATAGTCCAAATCTCTTGAGAATTCTTCGCCAATTCTGGTACTAGCTATCAAAAATTTCTCATCTTCTGCCTTTTGTGCCTCGACTGGATCAGAGGGAGCGGGGTCATTCCAGTTTGGGTTCAATCTGCCAACCATAGCACCTAATGTAAATGATCCATTACTGAATTTCTTCTCCAATCCTGCAGCGGAAATAGCCTTGGGGTCGTAGACTGAGATACCATTATCATGAGCATCAAGTGCTTCAATGAAGCTCTGGTAAATCTTCTTCCAGATAATTTCAACTTGTTCCGCATCCTCGGAGACACCTAGACGTTGTGCAATAATCGCCTTGCCATAGTGCATATACACTAACCCCGCAGAAGAGAGTTTGGTAGGACGGTCTGGGAATGTAGTATCGAAAGTACGTTGGTGATGGTCATATCTCTTGGTTTCATTATTATATTCACCTCCCACGTCAACAACAGTGTGGCAAGTTTCTAGAATTTTAGGATCCCGAGTCCGAATAAGCTCTGAAGATTGATAGGTGGGAAGAAGGCGAAGCATATAAACAGCTAAGGCTTCATCTGCGTGAAAATGACCATTGTGGGTACCAATGGTGACGGGAGAAGTCTTGAGTCTCTTTGCTGCAGTTTCTGCCATTTTAATTGTACTTCGAAGCATTCAGATACGACAGGATTTGATTTGATATGTTGGTGGTTGAAAAAGTCTAAAGAGGGGTCCAAGTTTCTCCATTATTCGAATCCTCCAAAACTTCAGGCTAGGCTAAATAAAGTGCAATAGTCAAGGCGGTGAAATAGGCAAATCCCACTTTAGCTTTTTCACACGTGCGTTGTCATCCCTCTAACAATAATTTGCCCACCATCTTCATTTCCCAAAATTTACCTTTACCAGTACAATAATTCAAATAATTTAAAAACTCCTAGAGACACCTGAGACAGCTAAGACACCTTGTCATTGTCGTTGTCATCATTTCTCTGCCACAATCTATCATTCATCTTCTGTGACAAAGATCTGCCGCCAGAAACTATATAAGCTCCTCTTGCTAGAATATTTTCCCAACTTGTCAACTTGTCAACTTGTCAACTTTCCTGCAGGATTCCCTCAAGAAAACCAGGCACAATCGGATCAAATTCTGTTATTGGAGAATCCCCGTCACTGTACGCACGCGACAAGCACAATCATTGGATCATTATTTAAGTAGAGCTACCGATCAAGGTGACATCTGTCTTCCTTGCTACTCAGATCCCATTTTCCTGGAAATTGTAGGCAATTATCTAGAAGTTAATCACCTTCATAACCGATTCCGTTCTCTTTCGGTACTTCCTCTCTATAGGATTCATGCACGCATGAATAATTATATCACTTTCTCTGCGACGATTAAGAGAGACTGCGGAGGGGAATTTGGGAGGGGAATTTAATACATTGGTCAAAAGACGTCATAGCAGTGAGCTTAAGCGCTTTTTAGGCTCAACACACTTCTCAAAACAGCATTCTCATTGTTGAGCAGAAGCTGGGATATCGAGAGTCACACGCACACAAACCGGGGTTGTTCAACGCGACTTTGCGAGCCTACCAGGACAAAGATATAATCCGAACTTCTGATATATTTAAGTTGGGCGCGCTTTCAAGCACGCGCCGGCGCCGTTTTCGCCGATGTGGTTATTCCGAGCTCTTTCCTCCGCGACCTTTCTCCTATCAATAATCCTCTCCATACCTATAGCTTTTGATGTTGGAGGTCGAGAGTGTGGGCTGGCATTCTCACTCGCCCTTTTCGAGTTTTACTTGTTCTATTCGACGCTAAAATTAACAACGCCTGAAAATTCGAGGATACGATGGGCATTAATACAGATAACTGGATGGTCGCAGTGGATAATACTGCCCACATTATTAATATGGAGCATGAATCGATTTGCCGTGGACGCAGACAGTGATGGGGGCTGGGTCAGTAGGACCTTTGATGGCAAGCGTGCAAAAGATAAGGAATTGAGAGAATGGGTGTTTGGCTATGGGGGTCTTCTTGAGATGTTGACAGTTGGAACATGGGATAAAGTGCTGAGATACTCAACACCATTGTAAGTAGATGGTCACCATTTATATAGTGGCTTCCCGAGCACTGAAAGCCCTCCTTGCTAGTTAAGGAGCCTCTACAAGCAAGACAATCATTCCATTTATCTTCCTCAAGACTAACAGTGTACTAGATTTCAAATGGCAGAAGGGTTTTGCTCTCTTTTGGTCATCCAGGCAGCTGGTCAAATCACAAGATACCTTGTAAATCGCAGAAGTGATACATGGATGGTATGTTTCGAAATTCTCTATCGTATACTTAAGCTCACCAATATATTAGATTGGGCTACTTGTGCTATCAGCATCAATTATTTCAAGCGCTGTCTATTTCTTGCTCCGCATTACCGGATTTCCACAGATCAGCAACGTCGATGCTACACTTATAGGCATTACTATGACTTGTGCAGTCTTTCTGTGTGCATGGGGTATTGGAAGTGGTAGAGGAAATCCAGTGGAAAGCTCCCTACTGTTCGCTTATTGCACACTTTGCATATACCAAATATTCACAGACTACCTTCCATCGGTCACGGATGAGATCCCTCAAGCGCCGGTGCAACCAGACTTTCCACCATTTCCTCCTATCATCATGGCTTCGTACTCGACTCTTTTGCATGTTTTGTCAACATTGCCATCTTTTGTACATTCGAGCTTCTACTTCCTTTACGCAGCTTTCCAGACCATCACTCCATCTATTCTTATATCTCTCGCGTTCCGAGTGTTTGTATTCTATGCAGCGACCCGGATAATACCAGCAATCCGTGAGTCTGGTGCTGGAGCTCTATCTCATGATCCAGGTCTTGACGACAATGACGGAGAGGGCAAAATCTTAGGGCTACTTAGCTGGTTTAGCCCCTCAATTTTGATAGCTGTTTATACTAGCTTGCTAATGCAACATTTCTCTTCTGTCACTTCCGAGGGAAATATGGGCGAATGGTGGATGATGCAAGGTGGTAATACTGGTGGCAATATCTGGCGATGGATTAATGTGTCAGCAACCATGGCTCTTTATGCATTGGAGCTCTACTTGGCCAAGGAAGATATGGACGGATCCCTTACTGGGCATTGGAAAATTGATTGAAGAATTACCAAAGAAGGCAATGAGATAGCATATTTCATGTGTCGGGGCTGGGTACCCGGTCAATCATGCGACGGTGCGACGGCGTGGGGGCCAATAGCAAGATGTAAGACATCTAGAACGGCGGAGACGGCAAGTGAGAACTCCCCGAATCTATCGAAGAATGACTCGAATCAAGCGTCTGAGGGTTGGGGGAGTATAATTGTGATCCGAGTTTAGCATAGCGTGGCGTTTACAATGGGCAGATCTATCGTGGGCCCTTAAATATGGAGTGGAGTGATTGAAGCTTATGCAGCTCCCGGTGGTGTCACTGATGCATCGGACTTGGAGCGGAGCATAACGTATTACTTAGGGATAGCCTTCTGAGAGCAAAAATGATCTTATCAACAAATCCCTTCTTCCGGATAAGAATGACAACACATGAATATGATATTTATATCGAAATATCTAATTTTATATCCTTCACATGAATACATGAGATTTCTGTCTAGTCGTTGATATTGAGATGACAAACTTCAGACATTCTAGAAGCCACTCGAAACATCTTCCCTAACTCACCTAATCAAGTGTGGATGATATAATTTCTTTGAAGTGAAAGTATCCGTCGACATTGATCCAGGGACCAATACCAAGAATACCAAGAAACGCAGAAATGCACCGAGAAATGCACACCAAGAATTAAAGAAGCGCAGCAAAATAATGCACCAAGAAATGCATTGCCAACATTAAAACTTTATTTTTTTGAAGCGTTTAAGATATCGCCAAGTGAAGTGTAGATGGAAAGCAAACAAGCAAGCAAGCCTCACTGTATTTTTTTCTAATTATGGATGGTATTTATGGATGGTATGGATGTATGAATGAATGAATGAATGAATGAATGGTGTTTGAGAATGAGACTGAGAATGAGAAGGGGAATATAGTATGTGATGATGGGATGGATATGGATGTGAAGATCTGTGGAATTGGAATTGGGAAGGAGGGGGGATACTGTAAGTGAGGAACTATTGGTGGGGGATGGATGGATGGAGTGGATGGTCCTGGTGGATGGATGGGGGGATGGATGGTCTTGGTGATTAGATTGAGATTGAGATTTGTGGGATTGGTTTATCTAGGTAGGTAGGTAGGTGGGTAGGTAGGTAGGAAACTTGGAGGGTCATCGATAGGGATGGTAACTTGTAAGGCTTACTTTTAGGTTTCGGGAGTTGTTGGTTGGTTCTGGGGATGTAGGTAGGTATGTGGTATAGGGTATAGAGTATCTGCTAGATATCTACTAGGTAGTCTTTTGTTTGAGAGGGTTTGTTTTGTGTAATGTATGTGGTTGCATATCGTAAAGTGTATGTAATTGATTAATTGAGAAGAACAGTTGAACTCTAGGTGAATGAGGGAGAGTCATACTACAGTATCACAGTATGTACACAGCATGCAGTCTGCAGTAGAACCACTCCGTACAACCGTACCAGGTATCTCTGCATTCGCTGAATCAGGTGAGGCTAACCGAAGCTTAATTCTGGGCCCTATATGCTATTAAAGTCCACTCGGATTGTCCCAGTTGAAAATAGAAATCTTGCCTCACCAAATTCACAAATCAGAGCATCTCCGAGAATATCCCGATTGTTAACCCCATATACCGTGAAAGTTTATTTTCTGTTTCCCTGCTTAGCGTCTTCAGATTCAACGAGAGTTACATGATGGAATACTTAGTTATCTCTAGGGTAGGTATGGTAGTGCCTGGGTAGTATGCATGACTTTAGCCTTATTCTCTCTTGTGAGTCTCACCCTACTACTGTATTGTAACTGTATCTACAATGTACTGTACCTAGTATCTAGTATCTATACTGTATCTACAAGACATTTGCATCTACGAGACTGATAACTACTGCGTCTAACTTCCAATTCGATTATTCCTCAATCCTTCGAGGGCCATGTTACATCCCCGGAGTTCCGGACCCTCTCTCTCTCTCTCTCTTGCTCTTATCCATGAACTTGGATTTACAAGCAAGATCAGCAGATGAGCTCACTCCGTTTCTCCATGTCCCCCTTTCCATCAATAATCTTGGGACTTGGTGACGGTCTGGACGGTGTTAACTAGTAGATTTAGGTGATTAGATGAGGAGGTGAATTCTCAACAAAATTCCAAATGATTACCTACTTAGTGATAATAAAGTCAATAGTAAATAGAAAGTCTTGTTTGTCTCAGGGCGGTATAGAAATGATAAAGCACGTGTAAGGGTGTGTAAGGATGTGTATCCACTTTTTATTGGTTGATCTTTCCCCACCGAATGAATGAATTACTGTTTTTTAGTGAAGGGGGAAGGGAAAGGGAAGGGGAACTGCCGAATGTCATGTCATGAATGGGCAATAATGCGCACGGACGGATCTTTTTAATCCTGGTCGAAGGGATGTACAGAGTAAGTAAGTATGTACGGACGTATGCTTGGAGTGAAGTCTTGACTCTTGAGAGAGGGGCCTCAGGAGAAGGAAGAGATCAATCCCCTGTTATTTTGGAAGATGCGAAAAGAAGATGTGTTATTTTGGAAAAGGCAACGGATGTAACTTCCTTCCCCTTCCCATTCCTTGTAAAATTACTTCCTTGTATCTCTCTGACTAGGGTAAATCAAATCAGTCAATGTAAAGTCTTACCTACAATGTGCATCAAGTGGATTTTTGGTAATAGGGATGGATATCAGCTTATCAAACTGAGCAAAAGTCCGAACCTTGATGTTTGATACCTCAACAATTTGACGTGATAGGAAGTCTGCGATGAGGTACGTATACCACCGTGCATGAGGCAGTGAAGTAAGTGAAGTGAAGTAAGTGAAGTATAAAGAGATAGAGAGTTGTAAGTATCGCATGATCTTTCCTTTCTCTTTTAACTTCTATTTACATCTCTCCCAATCTCCCTCTCAATCTGATATCCCATCTGATCCTATCCGTACCACCTTTGTACTCTTGTACTCCAACCTTCGTATATCTATCTGCATTCTCCCATTGGCAAAGATTGAAAACGATTGGTGCCACCGAAACGGAAATTCTTAAATACCATACACACCAACACGTTCCAGCGAACCCTCAATTCCTGTGTAACCACTCAGATTACATTATCTACCGACCCATTACTCCGCATCTGTTGCATACATACGACGATTCAGCTCTTGACAACTTCACATCTCTTCACTTTGCTTTTAAATTCACCAATTTACAATCCTCAATTCATCATCAAAATGTCCAGAGTTACTCCTCCCGTCACAAAATTCACCCATGCTATTCGTCGTAGTATCAGTACTACTCCTACTGTTGCGAGCCCAAGTGCCCAATTAAAAACCAAGGGTACCAAAGCTGATGTATGTGCACTTCCCTATCATTTTCTCTCAAATATCAAACCCAAAACTAATCACCTACTCATTAGCTCATCTCCAAACTATCCGCTCACGAGCGCACCATAACCACCATTCATCGACCTCTTCCACCCTCCATTAAAACCATCCCTCTCATGCAAGGATTCCGCACCAGCGCACCCCGTCCCGCCGCCTCCCCTTCCACACTCGACCATCTCATTCTCCCCCGTCTCCCCAGCGAATCCTCCACCACATTCTCCATGCGCGTACCCATCCTTCCAGATAACTACAGCGCTACTCAATCCATTAAAGAGAGTATCGACACCGCGATTCCCAAACAGGAAATCCACGTCGTTAGTGCATTGCCCGAAGAAGATTTCGCGGCTGTTAATGTCATGACCGAAGTGGTGGGTAATGAAGCAGATGCGAGTATGGATTTGGGAGAATGGGTTCAGGGGATTAGGTCGAGAGGTGAGGAGATTAAGGAGAAGTTTGTGGGGAGGGATCGTGAACAGGGAGTTCTTGGTGAATTGTGGACGAGTATGCGAGAGGATGTTTTTGGTTCGAAAGGGAAAGTTGTTATTTGATTTGAGATACCTGGTGAGATAAGATGAGGAGGATATGGGAAATCTAGGGAGTTTTGATTGTTTGCTTTTCTATTTACACTTTACATGCATGGATGGATGGATGGATGGAACTCGCTCGCTATGGATGGCTGGAGCTAGAGTTTCGTACTCTGATGACGTTATGATGATTCACTTTTTTGCTAGTTTAGTACTTTTGGCTATTTGCCCTTTTACTTACTTGCTTTGCTAGTTGGCTGAATGAGAGTTTTTTGAGTCTCATTTTTGATGTTTCGAGTTTGATCGAATGTTCAGGTACCTTTTTGTCTATGTCTACCTACTCTTAGATATTTGTTTTGCATTATAGTGATTCTATGTGATGATGTACATGATGACTTGGATAATAGTACATTGAAGTTAACAATCTCTCACAGTATCAGGTAGTATCGCTGCTGAAAACCACATGTTTTGCAATAGAAATTTACTTACTTCTTTGACTCTCATTCGTTCCTTCTTCATATTTAGCGTGTCTTTGTTTTGGAGGAATGAGTTATGTATAGTGTTGCTTGTTTCTTTGAAATCTTCAATATCCTTGGAGTCTTTAGTATAGATGGGATGGGATAGTATGGTATGGTATGGTATGGTATAGTATAGTATAATATAGTATAGTATATTATAATATAGTATAGTATAGTATAATATAGTATAGTATAGTATAATATAGTATAGTATAGTATAATATAGTATAGTATAGTATAATATAGTATAGTATAGTATAATATAGTATAGTATAGTATAATATAGTATAGTATAGTATTATTATTTTATCATATATATATCTATAGAGAAGCGGGGGAAAAGGGTAAAATCATTACGTTCATATTTGACGACTAAGTACTACTGGAGTGCTAGTGTATATGGAACGGGGTGAGATGAAATATTTTAAGATGAAGGCGTTCTAGAAGTGTTCCAATATTTTGTAGGGAATATATGATGTGCTTGAGGTTATATCTTAAGAGCTAGATGTTGATGTTGGTATCGGTGGGGAATAACTTTACATGTATTAGACATAAGATCTTAATATCTTACTATGAAGTAGAAATTAAAAAGTATTTGTGAGATTATTCGAGTATATTTATTTGTTGCTCCATTATAATTTAATAATGGTATTGTAGTTTTTGGTGTTGGTTGAGGAGAGTGGTGTGTATTTTCGTCTAGTGAGGGGGATGGGATGGGATGGGATGTTTATGCGGGGAGGACAGCGGGGTTGGGTCCTCACTTACTTACTCACTTACTTTCTTATTCGGTTTTTGGGGCTAATTTTGTGACATGTTTATAGGATTGGATCCGAGGTAGAGAGAGTGTGTGAGAGAGGAAGGTGTAGGGTAAGGAAGAGAGGGGCAACGACTACATAGATAATAAAATTGCAAAGTATTTGCTTGCATATCGTATCTAAAGAAGGATGAAGAAGAGAAAAGAGAATATCATGCAGATTCTATTCTGGAATAACAATATCTAGAACTATCTAGTTTATTACATTGCTGCAAACTTATTCCTTCGAGATATTAAGATACTACCTAGTTGAGGAATCCGAATCTAATTATTCGGGTTTATGGATATAGATATGATTAAGCTGCTATTGCTATACGATTATAACAGTATAACTTTCTGTTGCATATCTGAAGAGGGGTAAGAAGAGGAGATTGATGGAGTTTGTGATTATCATGTATCTAATCTTACGTGTATGTAGATCGTCAAAATCGTGGAATCGTCGAAGAACATCTTCATCGAGTTCGAGTTCTCTTCTCTGATTATTGTCATATACTTCTACCTAGTCTTTTTTTATGTAACAGTTGTATATCTGATGAGAGGTAGAGAGGGGATATAATCTGCTCACTTGCTAGGAATATAGAAGAAAAAGAAAAACATGGAGGATAGTTTGGGAGTTTGAGAGTTTGAGTTCTGGTGAGATATCAAAAAAATAATATCAAGAAAATACTCGAGTAACGAGGATGGATGGATAGATCCAATGAGGGATAAAAAAGAGAAATTGGATCTTCCATGAATCATACATAGCATAGCTTTCAACATTGAACATACACAACCTAATTATCTCCATAAAATAACACAATTTAAGAAAATATCTATCGACACTTTCTCAAACCCAGGTATCAGATACCTACTACAGAAAGAAAGAGGGGTACCTTAAATCTCATTCTCATAATCATACACCAGTTCCAACATCCCACATATCAACCACATCCCACCACCAAAAATATATCAATCAATCAATCAACTAACTCACAGATCCAGACTCCTCATTCCATCATCCTATCACCCTGCTTTACTATTCGTAATTCATGGTCCATAACAAAAAATCCCTCATATCATTCTGTTGCACATCTAGGGAGGGGTAGAGAGGGGATAAGAGGGGGGTAAAAATTGATTTCTCGAAAATCGTTAGATAGTACCTAGGTAGTCTCTAGTCTCCTATTGAATCTCTAGATATATTGATTGAGAAGAGGGGGAGAAACTTAAGAAGTAAGAAGGAAAGAGGATTTTAAGACTAGGTAGATATCTCCATAGGCTAATTACCAAGAAAGGTAGTTTAATAATCTATATCTTTCTGTGTTGTTTTTGCGTCTCTTGCTCAGGTATTGGTGTTTTATATTCTATATATCAGGAAGAAAGTACACTGCTACTTTGAGCGCACTCTAGCCTGTTACAACTACGACTAGTATTATATTATTGAATAGTTGGCTAAAGTTAGATAATTCTCTGCAAATATTCACATCTATCACATCACATCAGCACATAAGCACATCAAATAAACATCACATCAAAAACATCATACCAAGCTCCCCCCAAAATTCACGTACAACCAACAGACGCAGATCAGCAACCGGCCTCAAAATCCCAGAGAGGTATTAAATTTCAACTTTCAAGACATTTAAAGCATGGAGACGTGTACGTTAATTAGTAGAATGAATGTGCACTCACTATACAAGCCAAGAATCCCGAGGTAAACGGCAAGATAACATCACATATAACGGTGTCGATCTATCTTTAATGGGAATGGAGAGATATGATATGATATGATATGATAGGTATGATGTGATGTGATATGATGATGTTGGTTGATAAGGAGGGGATATACTAACTATACTATATAGTGGGGAAGTGAGGGGAATTGAGGGGGAGATCCGATCGTGGCAAGGATTCGATGGGTAAAGGGGTTTTGGTTATAAGATGAAGGATGTGATTTATCTTCTTTGGTTGATGTGAAATGGGATGATCGATCATAGAAAGTAAAGATACGCTCTAACAACTATGAGAACATAAGCATCGTTGTTCAAAAGTATGCATCTATTTATCTAATTCAAGTGATTATAACTTGACTTCCCATGGAAGATCATTCACTTATTATTGCTTTTCCTATGTTGCGTAACCTATTGAGCAACAAACCATATGATATACCTTGGTTCATATATATATGATACCATGAAATACCATAACATTAATGCCAAGTCCCACAATGTGTATGTCCTTCTATGCATGACTCCAAGTCCAACCGTAACTCCACCTGTAAAGACACAACGCCAGAATAAAGTTCCTCAAATGAAGTGAAAGTAATTACAACTGAACATCATTGTTGAGAAGTCGAACTTCCTCACCTGGTTTGAAAGCAGGCATACCGATATAGGGACAACCATCGCAACGGAATGCATCACCTAAGCTGCAGTTCCCGCAAGATCCAACTTTCCCTTTGACTGTGAAATCTACTTCAGCCAAATCATCAGCATCAAGCTTAAGAGCTTGGAGCTGGCTATCGGCCGTGGCTCGTTTTTCTGCATCTTCCTTGGCAAGCTTTTCGGCCAGACCGCATGTGCAATCTTTACATGCACGACGACGTTTTCCAGCTCTTGGAGCACACTCGGGAGCTAGATAATGTTAGTAGAGGTCAGAAGTTTGATATATCGATTACGTACGGATAGCAAGAGGCTTTTTCATATCCTCCTCAGTAAGAAGAGTGTCCTCGTCAATTAATTCATCGTCATCATCCTCAGCATCAAAGTCATCACTAAAATCAATGAAGCCAACTCCCTTTGGCACATCATTCTTTGGCACATCCTTCTCCGGTACATCCTCCGTCATGTCCACACTCTTTCTCTTGCCAGATACCGGTACCTCAACCGTTGAAACTGGAGGGCCAGCATTAGATACAGCTGTAGTCTTGCTATTATCCTTTCTGCGAAGTCGCAGAGGGACTGCAACACTTGCACTATGATCAGGTTTGAGCATAACCCCTCCTTCTGTTACCAAACCAGCCAAGATAGCCTCTCGATATTCTGCACCATCAATTTCCTGGCCAAAAGTACCATCCTGTGCCTGCAACTTTGCACCTGTCTTCAAAGCCTGTGTAATCTTTCCAAATACATCTCTTGTCAAAAGTTCAGTAGATTCTGCTCGTGTACCATCGGCATCAGTGAGGATGAGGACTAAATCGTAGGTTGATTCTGGAAGTGTGACTAATCCTGCAGAGAGACGATCCAGCATCTGCAAGTCGGTAACACTTCTATCATGAGTAGCAAGAACATTTCTTAGCTTTTCTTCATGACTGGCAATAGAAGGAGGTGCAAGGAGTAATGTGCGAAGATTGAATGAAGTCGTCTTGGTGGTTGTAGTTATCGGACTGAAATCGGAGATATTGTCAATAGTGACAGAGGGAGCCATGGCGGGGTCGTTGGTGGCGATTAAATGCTCTCTTTATCTTCTAGATGGATAATTGAGTATCGTATTAAGTTTGCGACAAAACAAATGCTGAAGGGAAACGATTATCGATTGGAAGAAAATGCGATATGAAAAGAATCGAATTTCACAGTATGTCTTTCTTTGGTAGATGATTTCAGATTTCTTATCAGGTTTGCTAAAGGGTTTCGGAGATGTTAATTCCTGATAAATTCCTGATAAATTCTTGATAATTCTTGAAAAATAATTATTAAGCTGCTATCTCGGCCACTAATAATGGAGAAAAATGGAAATTCTACTACGGCAGCCAGAATTCGGATAATTATTCTTGGCCAATCATAAAAATTGCTTTGAAAGATAATTAGGTCAGCAACTGACTAGAGTCTATAGGGTCATATAATTGGTCAATCATTCATTATTCATGAGAATTAGTCTTTAAATTGATTAGGGTACCATACAATTGGTTGATTAATTATAGTAATAATTGTATCCTCAGAGAGAGATTGGAATATCATGTCATCCATCAGTCATTCTCCATTAGGTCTTCGTTAAAATATGTTCAAATTAACTAGAGCGCCATATCATTGGTCAATTACGAATCACTAGTATCCTGCAATGTCACACCACCCACGCGCGCAATGGGCCGCTTAGCTTCCCTGCTTCCCATTAGCTTCATATTTCCCCGCATTACTGGGGAAGAGGTGAATTCCGATCGAATGATCCTTCGGTATCAGTTGACGCACCACTGAAATGAGCTGTTATGAGTGAAGGTGAGAGAAAGTAAAGGAGTAGAAAGTTCTGGTAAACAAAGAGAAAGAAAACATTGATTGAGTCGTATATTGAATGTATACCTGGTATTGAACATTCATTTCAACTGTATGAGATGCTTCAATCTCTCTATTGCATAATTAGTCACTGTTGTGTGCAAGGTACCTCCCAGGTCATTTATATCTGCATACGAATATCCCAAGACTATGACGCAAAGAAAGCATGACTTGTGTTTATGTGTGTACCTATTAACCCCCATAACACCTCATGTATGAGCTTATACCCTATGGAATGGCGAGATCATCATGTCGAGGTTTATCAAAGAGGGTACCTGAATACAAAACAGGTCGCGTGATAATTCTATAGCAATAGGAGGGGAGGGAAACCAGTCTAACCGAATATTGTATTGCATTGTAATTCGTGAACCTTATTAAACCCGTCTCTCCCATTGAATCATTCAGACCTCAACCTATTAAAGAATCGAATCCATCAACACATCACTTCTTCTTTCTGTTCGAAACACTTTCAGAAATCCATTGACTTTTCCAATCTTTCAATCATCTTTCATCAACTTCTCCTCTGTACCTTTCGAATATCATCAATCTACGTTGCCTTGTACCCTTCTCATTAAATACCTTCAATCATTCAACAGTAAGTTTATCTGAGATCGCTTTGTTATACCCCGCCTTATGCGTAGCACTTGTCCCTCCAACCAAAGTATCAAGTCCTCGACGAAAGTTCATCTATTCGATAAGCTCGGGTGTTTGTATGAATCCATACTGACATGTTCATGATATGCAGTGGGTAAATCACACAAGTACAATGATCGCGACCATGCTGGCCTCGCCGATGGTACCGCTCTTCCACAAGAGCATTTACCTCGTTACTTTGCAAAGTCCGGTCATGTTGATATGGATCCAAAGAAAGCAAAGAAGAATGGTGCTGGCAAGGGAGGATGGTACGTACTTCTTTTAGTCTTCACCTTACCACTCGTGCACTTCCTCCTTGTTGCCTTCTTCGACTAACATATGCCAAACAGGGGTGTAGAGGGTGAAGAAGTCCAAGATGAAGGTTTTAATATGGCCAATGCTCGTCGTCGCTCCAACAGCAGTTCTTATACTGCCGGTCTCAAAGACTTCAAGACTAAATTCGAACAAATCGAAACCGAACCAGTTTTTGAGGAGAACATCCATGGTGCTTTGATTGAAGAACTTCCAGAGACTACTCGTTCCAACACAAACAGTTCGGAGGCTAGCAGTGTTGATGAGGATGTCAAGACCAAGTAAATTTGGATCTTGATGTGATGGATATGGCATAGGTTACTACATGAATGTCATCTGTATGAGGACTGATGTTCATCTGCCGGCGGATCGATACAATTGCAATCTTCCCTCTTATGGATGGGTATATGGAATGAGGAGAATGAAAGAAATGAAATGAAATGAAAAGACACTTTTACCTGGCACCGATTTATAAGTCTAGATGTATTATCAGGGCTTCTTTTTAGCTATTTATTATCAAAGGCATAGAAGGAATTGCCCAGTAAATGTCATGTTTCTGATTTTTGTGATCGTTTATGGTGATGTTATAAATACAATAATCCACTTAATCAAGGAGCTAACATTTGTCGGCTCTTTAAATGGTGAAAAGTCGTTATCGTGCAAGTTGACATAACTACACCTCGGGTCCAACAATAGAGAGACACATGCATGATGCGGGAATTGGTCCTTCCGGATGTCTTTTTTTCACGGAGTTGCCATACCGATGCGCAGAAACACCGAAATAAATATTCACTCCTCCCCGCTTACTATCGTCTGTCACGATACATACATCTATCTTCCAATTCAGTGTGCATTCCCCAATTCACAATCTCTCCATTGCTAGAGATTAAACAATAAAGCAAATATACCTAGGGAAAATGCCATACAAGCTCACCAACAGAAATGTACTCGTAACAGGAGGAAGTCGGTACGTCGTAACCCCGCACTTCCCCGCAATAACCGCCTATCCACCATCCTTTCATTCAAAAGTATATTTTACTAACGGTGAGAATGGGACAGAGGACTTGGCGAAGTTATTTGTCTCAAATTCGCAGCGGAGGGATGTAATGTCGCTATTAATTATGTTTCTAGTGAGGACAAGGCGAGGGAGTTGAAGAAGAGGATTGAAGAGGAGTGGGGTGTGAAGGTTGTTTGTTTGAAGGGGGTGGGTTGATTTCTTTTGTAAGATGGGGGAATATGAGATGAGGGTATTAGAAAGAAAATAGGATAAATTTTCGTGATGGACCGGCTAATGTTTAAAATGAGGATAGGATATGAGTCAAGAATCCGACTGTATCTCTGTGGTGAAGGAAACTATCAAGGAGTTTGGTGGGTTGGATATCATTGTTTCCAATGCTGTAGGTTTATGGGCATTTCTTTTTCCATTCCTCTTTCCTTTACCCCTTCTCCCACCATTCAAATCATCGAAGCTGATAAATAAGGGCTATACACGCTTCTCAAATTTCGCTGATCTCTCAGCCCCTACGGCAGAAGATTGGCAAAAATGCTATGCTACGAATGTAGTGGCTCAAACTTTCTTGTTGAAAGAGGCACTGCCAACTTTTCAAGCGAATGAAGAGGGAGGATCTTTCATTATGACGAGCAGTATTGCTGGTGTTGGCGCCGGAGGAAGTAAGTGTTGTTCTTATCTCTTTCCGCGATCATGTCTACTTGTCCTGGTGTAGGATCTCAGACTTTCACAGGGAGGTTTGATAACGAGACATTTGATAAGAGATGTGACGGAACAAAAGGAACTGGAGAGATATTAGTTGGAGAGGAGGCTAATGAGTTGAATGTAGGTTGTATGCCGTATTCGGTAACGAAAGCGGCTCAATTGCATTTGATGAAATGTTTGGCTGCTACCCAGGGGCCGAAGGTACGCGTTAATGCTGTGTTGCCGGGCCTGTTGCTTACGGAATGGGTATGCTATACAATTTCTTTACTTTTTTCCTAGTCGTTAGACCTCGCTCCGGAAAGGTTATTTGGCAATAAGTAGTGCCCTTGATGAGTTGGATAAAATCATAGGAATCATCACAAATGTCGTCTGCAATATTTTATATATTGCCTACTTGTCCCTTCGAGGTTATTTGTAACGGAATTAACAACTAAAATTACACAGGGGAAGAAGTATTCAGAGGAAGATCAAGAGAGATTGAAGGATAGAGCATTCTTGAAACAAGTAGTAAGTATTTCTCTAGTTCTTTGTCATCTTTCTCACCCCTCCTAAACTATGAAAGATCATCCAAAGGCAGAATGTACTAAAATACGAAAATCTAGACGGATCTCGAAGATTGTGCCCAAGCATTTGTGGATATCGCGAAAAACAGTAGTATGACAGGACAGAAAATACAAGTTGGTGGGTATTTTATTCCATTCTTTCTAGGGCGAGATGAGAAGTATTGGAAAGAGGTAGAATCAATGCTGACCTCCGACAGATGCTGGACTTGCGCAGAATGTGTGAATCTCCGCATAGTGCTGGAAAAATGAGACAGCCGTGGAGAAACGTGTGAATCTTTGCGGAAAAGTAAGGTCGCAGTATGTAGTAAGCTTCAATATAATTAAATTAACACTATTGTTTCTTATTCTATAGACATATCAATACTCATTTTGCTATTGGTAGAAAGCCAATCCCACGCAAGTACTCGACATTCTTACGAATGGCAGCTTCTACTCTTGACGAAGGAGTACCGGCTTTCAGTTCTTGTGGTATTTCATCCATAGGCATGCCCATTTTCCCATGTTCCTTCTCAAGGTTATGGATTAGTGGCCATAGAGGATGGCTCTCATGCTTAGAGTCAATATCAGCATAGATAGTATCCAACCATTCATCCTGCCTCAATGGCTCAATAATGTAACCGAAATCTCTCCCCAAGATAGACCAAAATTCACGCACGGGAAGACCCTCAGTGATTCCAACAACGGGGTCCGACGAATCATTCTGTTTGGCGTCACAGCAATCCAACACAACTCTGGCTACATTGTCGACATCAGAGATGAAGAGCCAGGAATCAGCGTCTGCCTCATTAAAACTTCCAATCTCTATGCAACTCGCTACAAGTCTCCAGATAAAGTCATCGGTATTAGCAATACCCTGGTGGGGTGTACCAATAATAAAGCTAGGCTTTACCACGAATACCCGGTTGTGATTCTGAATACTAGTTTGCGAGTACTCTTGCACGAGAAGTTGTGAGATAAATTTCGTTTTAGCGTATTCAGTAGGAAGAACATTATTGATATGATCATCGTCCATGTGGAGATTCTGCTCTGCTAGCGATGGACCATTATAGCCACCTGATATATACACAAATTTCACCACGGAAGGTGTTTCATTCATGATATTCAAGAGACTCCAAGTCGAATCGACATTTTCCATTTTCAGGGATGAGAAATCGCTATTCCAATGTACTTTTGCTCCACAGTGAATAATGGCATGTACCCGTCGAGAAAAGAGTGACTTTCCAGCTAAGCAATCCCATTGATCAGGGTTCAGCCCGAGACGATGTTTTCCGAGATCTCCGAGCCACACTTCGATTTTTTCGTGATACGAATCTGTCCACCATCCTGCTTGCATTGCCCTCTTCCTTACTCGCTGCAGACCATCCTTGATATTCTTTGCTCGCACATGTACCATGACCTTTTGGATATCTCTTCTTGCGCAGAGTTGAAACAAAATCTGAGATCCGAGAAATCCGGTGCCACCCGTCAAAAATACATTCTGAATGGAAGGACCTCGTCCCCACTTATCCATCTGCTGTCTGTACATCTGGAGTTCCATTCTAAGATCCACAGATCTCTCAGCGCCACTTTGGCTTATTCCTACAGCTCTCAGCTCCTCGATATACTGTGTCACGCTTCGGATCGTTGCTTTTGGATGCAGTAGTACGCTGATGTGGAGCTTGACGGTAAATTCTTGCTTAATGAACATTATCAGACTGATTATTTGTATGGAATCAAGACCGATTGCTGTCAAGGTGATGTCTTGGCCGATCAGCTTGGATTTGGCTTGGTGATCATTGTGGTACACGAGAGAGGCGAGTTTGCTGGATATTTTGAAACTTATTATGTTCTCTTTGGATAGTGTAGTGCCATTTTGGCCATTCGTATGGCCATTGGTTGTCCCATTGGTGGCTCCGTTGATGGCACCATTGGTAGAGCCGTTCGAAAGGCCATTTGTTAGAATCGAATTTGCTGAATCCCGACTTAACTGCGTAAGCCAGAATTCCACAGCCTTGCGATTAATCTTCCCAGAAACAGAAAGCGGAATCCGTTCTACTGCAAACCAATGAGTCGGTACCATGTATATCGGCAGTTTGGTCTTCAAGAACTGTTCAAGCTTGGCAATACTGAAGCCGGAGGTTGCTAGTTGATGATTGCTGACCAAGGAGAGGATATTTGTCGCCGAAGCAGGCTCCGAATTTGTATCGCGGATTTGGACTATTGCCACGAGAGATTTTGCGAAAGCTCCTGTCTCGGGGCTTGAAGCCATGGATAGCGCAACACCGGGGTAAGTCGAGAGATGGTATTCCACATCTCCAAGTTCAACGCGCTGGCCTCGAATTTTCACTTGGAAATCTTTTCTCCCCACGAAATCCAGAGATCCGTCTGAATTATACCGTACGAGATCGCCCGTCTTGTAGAAGCGTCGTGTTCTCGTTCCTAAGATTTCAGCCGGCCATCTTGGGTTCTTGATAAATGCTGCTTTGGTTTTATCCATATCTCCGATGTAGCCGCGAGCAAGTGTTGGTCCTTCGACGAGTAACTCTCCGACTGCACCGATCGGAACGAGGCGGTCGTGGTTTTTTGGATCTACCAGCCAGCACAGGGCCGATCCGAATTCTCGCCCAATGGTTGAACCTCTGGAATTAGGTCCTAGTAAATTGGCCGTTGTGGGAGAGGATTCTGCAGGTCCGTAACAGTTATAGAGGGTTACAGCATTAGCCCATCGAACCAAATTCTCCTGCGTGACGGCTTCTCCGCCTAGTGTCAAAATCTCAAGACATGGCACCTCTTCAGGCGAGATCAAATTCGCGACAGATGGAGTGAAGAGCACCCAGTTAACCTGCATCGTATTCATGATACCGATAATATTGCTTCGACGGTCATCTTCAGATGGAGTACATACGCATCCCCCGTAAATAAGTGTAGTGAAGATATCCATCATACTTACGTCGAAGGTATATGCAGCATATTGAAGGACGCGAGATCTGGAACTCCATCCAAAGGCTTTACCATGGGCGAGCGAACTTGTGGACACGGAGCTATGTTCCTGAACAATTCCTTTGGGCTCACCAGTGCTGCCAGAAGTAAACAGAACAAAGGCTGCATTATATGGCTTAACCTTGATCGATGGACGATCCTGAAGAGATGCATGGAGGGACGTAAGGAGAGCATCCGAGACGATGATAGTTTGTTTCATCATGTCGCTGAACTTCGGTGCAGTTTGCGGCGATGTAATGATCAATCCTGCATTCGCCTTTCTGATGATAGCCTCTAGTCGCTCTTGGGGTTGAGACGGATCTAAAGGGACGAATGCTCCGCCCACTCTTAAAATTGCAAGCATAGTCAATATTGCATACAAGGACTTTTCGAAACAAATCGGCACGAGTATTTCCGGCCCAACCCCATGATCAAGAAGATGACACGCCAACATGGACGTTACTTTTTCCAATTCATGGTAAGTTAATTGTCCATCCCAGGAGCATATCGCGGGGGCATTCGGCGTTGATATTGCGTGTCGCAGCACAAGATCATGTACGCATACATCTATCCTCTCTGGAAAATCGGCTTCCCATCCTCGCAACTGTTGTAAGTCTCGCTTGGTGATGAGATTGAGGCTATCTATGCGTTGGAAAGGATCATTCAGGATATTTTCGATGGCTTTGGCGCATGTGTGGGCTACATTTGTTGCGGCGATGGTGGACAATTTTGTCGGGAGGTGCTGTAGATATGCATGGACTTCGGAATTACTACTTTCGTATCTTATATCTAGTAGTATCTGAATCTGGATATCGTGTTAGTCATGATATTCAACCAGCTCTTTTTTCGTACTTACATGATTATCTGGCACATTTTGAACACCGCTACTCCTTGGAATAAAATTAAAGCTCCCTGCACTATCCACTTCTTGAAATTGCAAAGCAGTATCATATAAGACCGTATTCGCACTCTTGTTGCCAGACGAAGGCAACAAATGAGAAGCGTCATTTTCCTCTGATGATTTTGATTGAATAGCTCGTAGAACTTCAATCACTCTACCCGCCTCCTCAAGTTCGACATGGCAATCTCGAGTGTAAACAAGACCACAAGGTAATGCTGAATCTGCACCCACTTCAGACGGCGGCAGAGTCAAGTGACCAAAAGACGGAGAGTTACTTCCTGCGTAACATTGAAGCACGAGCGCCCACGCAAGCTTGAAGAATGTCAACGGAGACACTTCATGTTCAGCACAGAATCGATCCAAATGTTCGATGCTGTAGCTAGGAACTTCTACTGTTTGCCAACATCTTTCTGTTGGGGATGGATCGAGGAAAGCATCGAGGATAGGAAAGAAACAAGCCTGGGCTTGCCAACTCATCATATCAGACATGTTATTAGATTCGTAGGTTTCGCATATATTGATGTGTGATTAGGGGAGGAAACCAAAGCCTGGAAGAGTGATAGGGTGTGATTCATTGGATAGCATTGGATACTATGCATATATAACAGAAATCTCCAGTGTATTGTCATGGAATCATGGATGGCTTGCTCAGATAGAGCTGATACATCCTATCATCCCGAGTCTCAAACTACATCATACAGGCCACAAATGTCCCTTTTGACTTAGCTGAGTTGTATTTATCTGTATCTTCCTGCACTGTTACGAGCAGGGTATCAGATAGCACGGTACGCACTGCAGTTTGATAATGAGGGATTTTCGAGTGTATTCAAAAATTTACTTCATCTTTGAGTATCGGTAGCCTTCGCAAAGATTGAAGCTGCAATTCGAACTCCCGACTATTGCGAGCCCTGGCACGAAGCTTCAATATTCCGCGTCCGAAAGGACTAGGGTTCTAAGTCAACTTGCCACCGCGTACAGCTTTTTGAAGTTTCTTGTGGCTGCAGCTATGCAGCTAGATACTTCATGTTTGCACACTGGTAATAGTAAATTTCCGTTATCTCTATGACATAATCGTGTGTCCCGTTTCCCAAAGCCACATTAATTAAGTTGTGCATTGATATGCATCTTATTCTCCTTTCGACTGCATTTGCAGCGCAGCAGAGAATACTTCGATGATGTAGTACTTCCCCCCATCCCGCAAGTTTAAATTTAGTTTATCAAAGATCCGAGATGTAAGTTACCAAAAGATTCCCAATATTTGAAACTATTGATTTACCCTGCAGTGCCATGAGATACACACACCCGGAAGAGAAGATCTGTATGTCATACTTTATCTGCATCTGCATCTGCATTAATTTAGCTCTGATATTCAATGACCCCAGTGGTATACTCCGCACAACTCAGATTGGCTGGCTAGATGAACTTTCTCGATTGGCTCTCTACTGTTCTGCGAGCTTAGATTGGCGGACTCGTCTATCTCTCTTAGTCGATCCGGCGTCTTTCCGCATTCTGTATCATACATCGGTACTATATCCCGGTACTTGAGAGGTGAGGCGCTCCCCAAACATGTCTTGGAAATATGCAAAGAGCCTAAAACGCTTGATTGGAGAGGGGAATATAAGGAAACACGATAACAAGGCACGGGAAACTTCAAATCGCCCTCGCTTATTACCCCAGTTTAGTTCGACGAATTGTGTAGAATCGAATATATTATAGCTTATAGATTCATATCAAGTTATATCTTGAGTATCTAGGATTTATAAGAAAGACTTTAGAATTAAAAGATTATAAGATATATTTAGTATAAAGCTGATTATTCTAAGATAAGAAAAATTTAAATCGATGAAGGAAAATTAGTTTAATATCTTATAAAACTGAAAGATAATATAAATAATTATTGATTGTTTAGAGTGTTTTCTTCAATGATTCAAGCTAGAGATAATTCCCGAAAAGTATTTATACTCTAAATAATTCAAAATCTCAGTGGAATTCACTAAAAAGATCAAGCCAACATATTTAGATTTGTAAGTTTTTAGATCTAGGCTACTGTGACTTATTAGAGACGTTGGACTCGAGGGAATTTGCTTAGAGAAAATCAACTGCAGAAGGTTTAACCAATATTGGTTACACGGTTCCCGGTAGTAAACTTTCATGTAGTATGGACTGTCTGTGGTCCACGATCATGTAGATAGAATGCTTTCGGGACCTGTGCAGGCAAAAGGCCGGTGGAACAAGAAAATGCTATTGTTACAAGATTGGTAATCCATGCGAACTGTGACAATGAAGAAGGCTGCGTGCGCCTTTACTAGGGCTCTCGAGTCAACGCTTTTGTGCAACAAAAGGAAAAAGAGGTAGCCAGCCACCTTTTACACCACATGCTGAAAGTCCGATTCGGCTGCCACAAGCCAAACCAAGCTCTTGTGGCTAAATGCCATAATGTACACCGACAAGCACGGAAGCACCTGCACAACACATGCTATCAAGAGCCAATATAACATGGCAAAGAAATAATTCTGCAGACGCTCTCTGCATCTATGGTATCACTCTCGCATATTCCTGTCGGACAACCATGGTTCATTTAAGATTAATAAAAGAGAATGCTAACTTCTCCGTTCGGATTGGAGAGGCTGGGGGGATTGAGTAACTCACACATGAGCTGTAAGACTAAATATTATTGGGACACGAAACACAAAAAATGTATTTAGGAAAGACATTTCCGGACCTACGCCGGAGCAGCTTGATTTGTCTTTTAGCTTAAGAAACATTTTTGAAATGTCCGAATCACAGAAAACCTCGAATGAGACTTTTCATAATGGGACTCGTGCATCGAGAACACTAGCAATCCTGGGATGTGGTACGGGATCTACTCTAAGAATGCCACTGGCGTCGAGCGAGAACTTGATAGTTAACTTCTTTTAGGTAGCCTTGGAACTGCTCTCTTGTGCGGAATACTGACCAGCATCGAAGAGAGCAAGAAATCCAACTTAGCTCGTCCGGATTTAGATCAATCCCATGTCCCAAGCAATTTCATAGCTTGTGTCCGGAGCGCCCCTTCTGCTGCACGCTTGGAATGTGCACTTTCTGCTTTTGACACAGAAGTAGCAATCTACCATGGCGATCAACGTGCTCCTCTTCACGAAGCCGATGTGATAGTCCTAGCTTGTCAGCCCGGTGATATACGGAGTTGTCTAGCCACCACCATCATCAGATCCCAGCTACAAGACAAGGTCCTCGTTAGTCTACTTGCGGGCGTCACAATTCCAGATATCGAATCCGTACTCCAGTCTGTAGGGGGTAAAAGCTACTATCCCGCCACAATTGCTCGAGCAATGCCAAATACTGCGTCATTTGTCCGTGAGTCAATCACTGTCATCGAAGCCCCAGAAGCAACGTCAGCCCGCCATTTAGTTGCAATTGACTGGCTGTTTGAATCGATCGGCAAGGTTAAACACATTTCCGCTTCCAATTTCGATACATGCACAGCATTGGGTGCATCAACTCCTGCGTTCTTCGCGGTTATTCTCGATGCTTTGATTGACGGCGCTGTCACACTGGGGCTGACCAGAAAGGATGCTACGTTCATGGCAGCACAATCTATGAAAGGATGTGCGGCGTTGGTGCTGGCCGGAGAACATCCAGCTTCTGTGAAGGAGAACATTACCACTCCAGGCGGCTCGACTATCAGGGGCGTACTAGCGCTTGAACAAGGAAATGTGAGAGCTGTCGTGGCAGGTGCTCTGATTAAGTGCAAAGAAGCCGCAGAAGGATTAGGAACTCAGGCGAGGAATTAGGGTTAGCGTTGTATGCTCCATTATTCATAACGTGCGGCCATTACTTTTCATTTTTATCCGAGTTTGAAAGGGTGTTTGGAGAGATTCTAATTTCATGTCAATCAATCTGGAAAATAATGAATGCAGAGTTTGTTTGAATGTGATTAGGAAATTGAGTCACACACGTGATCTGTGGCAGAAATAAGGCGGTGAATGATTTTTTTGCCCTGAAGTTCACGCCTTGACTTGAACATATTCAACTAAATCTATCTGTTCTATCAGCTTGCCTACTAATCAAACTTTTCATTTTCTATAGCGAGGTACAGACAATGAAATGCTTTGTCTTATAGGAGTTATCCAAATCATTCCTTGAGTCTCTAAGCCGGTTTAAGCATCATTTACCAAAACATATCGGTATCTTGCGTCTCCAGCTTCCATCTCCTTCAGAACATTGTTCACATCACTCATCTTTCGCGTCTCAACCCATGGCCAAATCTGTTCCCTCACCACAAATTTCAACAGTTTTTCTGTCTCCTTGACTGAGCCTATGTCGTTGAAATGGATTGAGATCTTCCGCTCAACCAGCCCAAAGATTTCAAGCGGCGGCATAGGATCGTCTGGCAATCCAACTTGGCAGAAATGACCTCCTGTCCTGAGCAGACTCAGATATTTGTTTAGTGGCATGTCAGCGGATGACACAGTACAAATAATCACGTCGAGCGACTTTGCATGCTTCTCTGCCCAATCTGTCTCTTTTTCAGTGGCTATGTAGCTTTTTGCACCCAACTTGATGGCGTCATCGCGCTTGCTCTCGCTTCGTGAAATTGCAACGACATGCTGAAACTTCAAGGCTTTTGCGAACATGATTGCAAAGTGCCCCAAACCTCCAATACCAACTATTCCGACTCGCTTTCCTTCTCCTTTGTATTCTGCTAATGGAACGAAGGTGGTAATGCCAGCACATAGCAATGGTGCCGCTGCTGCGCTGCTTAGTGCTTTGGGAATACGAATGGCAGCGGCACCCGGAACTCGACAGTAATTTGCAAAGCCGCCGAAGGTCTTGCTGCCATCTGGGAGATATCCATCATACGCAGCAACTTTCCGTGGACAGTAGTTTGGCATCCCTTGGCTACATTCCGGGCAATCTTCCTGGGCACAGACGTGAATTATAGGGCCAATTCCTACCCGGTCACCAATACTGTTCTCTGTTAGCGGACAGAATTCCACGTGTTTAAAGGATATACCAACGCAATGTTTCGCTCGACTGCTTTCCCTACTCGGACTACCTCCCCCACAGTCTCATGCCCGGTGCAGCATGGATAATTAGTAGGTCCCTAGTCGAGAACATGTGAGATCGAATCAAAACATGGGTAGAATTTCTTACCCATCCACTTCGCAAAGTATGCATGTCACTTGCGCAGAGACCACAGTGAGTAACTTTGACATCTATGTCGGTCTCTTCCCATTTCTTCGGTTGGAAAGGTGTTAGTTTCAACCCATCGACTATGGCGTTTTTGTCAAACGCCATCCATCCTTTGAAGGTAAGGTCAGAAACGATCATTTGGTCTTCCATATTTTTCCGACTTGTGTATTTTTTTTGAGGTGATATTTGCGCTGAATCGTCGAGTATCGTGAAAATCGCGACTGAAGATATAGTTAGGCATAATGCTACTATATCGATATACTTAAATGGGACGTCAAAATGTCGGTGTTCCCAAATTTGTCATTTGTACGAGCGGCTCATGTAAATCACTCATTTAGGTATACAAGACTAATGATTATCCCGAGTAAGCAATGGTATTGTGACAAGCCATACCCCACAATGTGTATTTAGTCCCTTCTGCTGTGCTTGCTCTGTTTTGTAGTTTATTTCCTGTGTGCGCTGCATTAGATAGGTGCCAATGCTGCAAGTAGCAGCAGAATTGCGCACATTCAACCAAGCGAAGCCTCCTACCCTTAATCAATTAAGCCATGAACACTGTCGCCGATCACACAAATAGATCGGAAGGTTCCACCAGATATCGCTTAGGTTTTTATCATGGGGACCAGTGTTTCATTATAATATACTTCGTCAGATCATCAGCCCGAGCTAGTAGGTGAGCTGAAAAGGCGCGAATGAAAGAGGCAAGTGAATTGAGCCAAGATGTGAGCCCGAGATCAAGATGATTGGTTTGGAAATATCAATGATGATGTAAGTTTGAGGCAAACGTGTCTATTTCTACTTGTGAGAAAATGCTGGCCACTTTCGACCTTGGCAATTTGTTTCTTTAACTGTCTATACTGAATCTTTTCATCAAACGACACTCTTTGAAACTGGAAATTTGGGAAGATGACAGCCGATATTGAGAGAGCAAGTCCCAAGTTTCAGAAGCTCCCATGGCTCCTTGAATATCGGTCCTCTGACTGGTTCATTCTCACTACAGTGTGCTGTGCCATATTCACTGTAAGCTCGTCAAATGATTTCCTCCCCGGTATCTATCTAACGTGGCTTAGGATGCCTTCCTTTATGGTGTTGTAAGCATCCCGTTCATACCATCTATACATATTATTCGAAAAAGCGAGTGGCTGAAGCTATACTGGATGTTATATTAACAACAAACAGGTGGTTCCCGTTCTTCCATTCAGTCTACAAGAGAGATCAAGTGTGCCGGAGGAAGAAGGTACGTGGAAAATGTCGAAACTTGACAATCTACTGATTAAAAATAGTCCAATGGTGGACGTCTTTCATATTCGCTATCTTCGGTGCTGCTATTATAATTGGGTCTCCAGTTTGTGGATGGCTCGCAGATCATACTACCGATAGATCCATTACTTACTTCGTTGGGCTATTCATCCTAGCGGCTGCAACTCTTCTTTTTGGATTGGCGAAGAAAGCATGGCTTCTTGTCGTTAGCAGAATGTTCCAAGGGTTCTCGGCTGCGATAGTATACACCGTTGGGCTCGCACTATTGGTTGATACTGTTGGGAGTGAAAATATTGGACAGTGGATGGGCACAGCTTTATCATGTTCCAGTGTCGGTCTCATTATCTCACCTTTGCTTGGTGGTATTGTCTATGACAAGGCCGGCTATATGGCTGTGTTTGGTATGGCTGCTGGACTCATCATTATTGATGTCCTACTGCGCATGTTGATGATCGAGAAACGGACAGCCGAAAGATACCGGAACATTCATACCTCCCCTGCTGAACCTGAGGGGCAAAGCAACAGCCCAGAGAGCATTAACAGCTGGGCTGAGCCTTTGAATACTCCGGAACCTACACCTCCTGGATTTGGTATACCCAACTACGATGAATCTAGCGCTCTTCTCCCAAAGAAGGCTCAAAACAGCAACCGAGACTCCAAAGCCTGGAGCCTTCCACCAGTCATTACCTTGCTCGGTTCGCCACGAGTTGGTGCGGCCATATACGGCATTTTTGTTAACGTTTCGATTCTCGCCACATTTGACAGCGTTCTCGCATTGTTCGTCAAGGAAACCTTCCACTGGAGTTCTCTGGCAGCCGGGCTCATATTTCTGTGCTTAGCCGTACCTGGACTTGCAGGTCCACTCGTCGGTACGCTTTCCGACAATCTAGGTCCTCGTTGGATTGCCGTTGTTGGATGTACCTTGACAGCAGTGCCATTGATACTTTTGCGACTTGTCGATAATGACACTACCGGGCAGAAAATTTTGCTATGCGTCCTATTGTCTATATGCGGTATGTGAATCAATTGACTTAGATTTTCTTCATACTAGCTTATGAACGCCCGCTAAATCTGATTTCTAGGTTGTACACTCATTCTCATCGTAGCACCTGTTGCCGCCGATCTTTCTCTAGTCGTAGGAGAAATCGAAATCGAAAATCCGGGCAAATTTGGTCCTGGCGGGGCTTATGCACAGGCTTACGCTCTGTTCAATTGTTCTATGGCTGCCGCTACCATATTTGGCCCAGTATTTGCAGGCGCGTTGATTACACAATATGGTTGGAAGACTATGAGTCTAGCTATGGGTATATTTTCTCTCACTGGGGCAATTCCATGTGTAAGTATAAAGCCTCTTCCTCCTGCTTTGCCCTTCTGCGCAGTTCCATCTATGCCCCTTCAAGAGAACTTGACTAACGATATAATTACTAGTTATTTTTCACTGGCGGGCAGCTATCTCGAAAGGAGTCAAAAAGCGCAACCGTCAACCTAGAATAGATTGTGATAAAAGACTAGGCTTTCTGGACAATGTTTGATATTCGCGACTTGACAAGCTATTTGGTTTACTACATGGACATTTCTCCATTTTTTCTTTCCAATTTGTTCTTTCATAAGATTACATATCTCACATTCATTTAATTTTGTTGTTTCTTGGATTAATGTAACTAAGTTTTCCTTTGCATAAGATGCACTAAAAGTCTCAAACTGTAATTTCAGTGTTTAATTAAATTATATATTTGTTGTACAAATAGTGTGTGTTACACTTTACTGCACACATGGTAAGACTTATTTGTGCTACCAGCCTGTGATTACGAAGTTAGATAGGGGAATATTTGAACTTGTGAATTGTACTCTGTGTATGAGCCCATCCATGAAAACGAAATATGAATGATATGCTGGTTACGTCATGTTTGATTGAACACCTCTCCCAATTATAGCTTGGTAAGTTTGGTATTTGGAGAGCTTATAAGGTGATAGCATTTTCGGTGTGTGACTTTGTAGCATATGCATCATCATGATACGTGCATTATATGAGATAAGAATCACCATTTGTATAATCTGACCAAAGCATCTTGGAGATATATTGGGAATGTATGGACCAGATCTTCACTATATACTAGGAGAAGATTATACAGAACTAGAATACTGCATTATCCATATTCGACACAAAAGTAATCTTCCTATCTCACCCAATAGCAATCTTACCATAGCAAGAAAAGCTCCTCACATGAACATCCTTAACGCTGCATACACACTTCCAAGCCCACCCTCAACTTTCAACTCCCAACTCCCAACCCCCATTCCACCATCAATCACCTTTCTTGGCGCGCTCCGCCCTATCCTGTCCCTTCTTATAAAGTTTCCCCATCTCCTCCGAACTCATTTTACTAGCCGTCCCCAACACATGATCCCAAAACGTCGTATAAACCTGCGAATAATTCGTCTACTCACCATATCACACCAATCAGCACAAATTCCCAAAATTTAACTTTAACTCAAATAATCACGAAAATTAGATTAATGAATAAGAAAATAATCTACTTACGCCTGCACCCCAAGTTTGGTGATGAATATCATGAAACACGGTTCCTTGTTCTCCTAACCATTGTAGAGGATCCCAGGGGAGTTTATACCCACAATGATCATCTACGCCTTTTAATACGCTGATGGTAGAAAATAGCATAGCTTCGCGCATGCTGAGACCGGAGAAGAAGAAAGAGAGAGTGGTTCCAACGGTATCTATAATGAAGGCTTCGGTGAGGGTATTGTAAAAGGCGGCGAAGGCGTAGGGAGCATTGACGCGGTGGTGTTTGGAATGGATATTTCCTGGTGGGGAGGAATGTTAGTGGGGGTTTATGGGAGAGATGGTTTACAGACGTACGGTACATCCATTTATTCTCGTGCATGGCTCGATGCCAGAAGTATTGCCAGGAGTCGCTGAAGAATGTTGCAATGCCGAATCTGGTGGCTGGAGCAAGGACTCTATATATTACTTGTGCGAGTATAACTTCCCATGCAATAATTTTTCCGTCCTTTTATAATTATCAGCTATTGCACAAGATTTTCTTTTTTTTTCGGAGAAGCGAGTTCCCACGAGATGACTTACAGGAGTGGCGATATGGATATGAAGAGGAAGACGCAACGAAGTTTTTGACCTAGCAAGATCAAATCCCAAAGCCGTCATCCCCGTCTTCAAGCTCCATACCATCCAAGAACCACCATTTCTCACCCTATCCACCCAAACCGCAATATCATATTCTTCAGTCCCAACCAAATCATGAGTTCCCAGAACCACATGGCCGAGGAACAAACCCCAAGCTGTCTGAATCAACTGCTGAAAGACAATACAGCGAAGGACCTCGCGAGCTGTCGCACGGTTGCGCGTCTGGATTTCCGCTGGTGTGTGGATGCGATAGGTAGAGAAGAGATTATAATGTGAGATGATAGACCAGAATAAAGAGAGAGACCAGTATGCAAGAACGGGAAGGAGGAGGGAAAGGTGGAAATCTGATATGTGAGAGGATAGAGGTGGCCGAGGAAATGGTGAGGATAAGGTGTAGGTGGGAGTAGTGGAAGAGGTATTGGTGATTAGAGTGTTCATTTTGAGCGGTAGATAATACCAAGAGGAATATTTGAGAGAGTGAGTTTCAGCGCTGGAGAAATGTAGCTAACATTTAAAGAAGCATGAGATTGTAATGAAATCTTATGGCATAACGAAACTATCGAAAAGCCACATCGAAGTAGCCTCACTCTGGCTACGTCCGTATCGCAACCATTAACGTGCATTCATAAACATTACCTAGATTTGGGCTGATGCTTGGATTAATTTGTGATCTGACCCTAGATCAGAAATCCATGGTGACGCTCATCGTATGCACTGTCCGATTCAGCTGCCGATGATGTGCATCCATTTGTGGCTGCATTTTCGAACCGGGGTATAAATATCGCACGGCAATGGAAACACGGCACAAGAGCTACAATTAGCTATGGGTGGCAACTCAAGGCTATGCCAATACAACTTTTTCCGTATATGCCGGAGCACTAAGGGTGTGGGAACAATTGGAGATACAATCAATGAGAAGTTACAAAGGATAGGTAACCCGTCCATCGATATTTCCGGGAGTCGGACCAGTGTATCCAATATTCCGGACTACACTCTAACAATGAGCGACTTATTTATAAATATTGAAAACATTTTAGACACTGAAATTATCTCAGATAGCAAGTCTATTGAAACCGTAACATTATTAAAAAATAAAGCATTTTTCAAGTTTGAAACTTTGATAAGTACAAATAGAACTGCAGCCCAGACTATTGGACACACTATCCGAGACAGATACACAAGATGTTTTGCGGAATATTAAGCCTCTGAGAGATTCTAAATAAATCCTACTCCGCCTTTGAGTGCGCCACAGTAATCTCGTTTATCTTTCTGCGAGCTTCAACTAATTCGTGGGTTCGAACATAACGCATATCCGCCCCCTGAACATCGGTCCATTCGGTTCCGAGTAATCTATCCCAAAAGACGGTATACGTAGAAAAGTTATGCTAGATGGGCCCATGTCAGAGCGTCTTCAGAAAAACAACAATGTGCCAAGAGTCGAAGTTTCACTAACCTTAAGACCCCAACTTTGATGATGCAAGTCGTGGAATCTTGCATTATTGCCATTAATGTATCCAAAAGGATCCCAGGGAAACACAAAATTGCAATGATCACTAATAGTCTTCAGCGTCGCTAGCGAAGACAAAATCATCCCCTGACGAACTGATATCCCGGAAATAGTATTCGCTAAGATGAAGCTCAAGACATCGAGGAAAATAGTTTCGGTCCAATGAGCGTACACGGCTCCATATGCAAAAGGCACGTAAAGTTGATGGTGCTGAGCATGCACAATCCCTAGAAGAAATTTTAATTAGACGAGTCGAATTGGAGAGGTATTCACATACGGTAAAGAGTCTTGTTAACATGACAAAGGCGATGCAGAAAATAAACCCATGTATCCACAACTGCGAGATACACTGTGAACTGTATCGCTGGTATTATGAAAGAAACTATGAGATGCGCGAAGTTCCACTCAATAGCAGTAAAAGTTGGACTTGACAATATATCATGGCCAATTGCAAAAATATGCGACAACAAAGGTGTTTTGTGGGATATTGATACAAGTCCTTGAACATCCAGGCCGAGAAGCGTCAATGCCCAAGGAATGACCGTAAAAGACTTCCTCACCCGTCGCGCCCATTGATATATCTCGCAGTCCCCCATTTCAACAAGCTCTGCCTCCTTGTTGTAAGTGAGTAGCAATCCTATCGAAATCTGTATCACATGATAACGCATGACATTCAGAAGACAGCCCAATCTTGAAACGCGATTTCGATGTAGTTCCTCTTTTGGTGGATGGATGCGGTAGTTGCTGAATAGTTCAAACTTGTTGAAGGCATAAAAGACTAAACTCCCAGCAACATAAACCAGTGTTGGCAGTATCACGCCGAGGGTATGATCGGACACCCCGTGTATCATAGATGGGCGAGAATATATAGTGCATGATGGCACAGAGGGAGAAGACAAAGTATCTGTGATGTTCGCCATTTGAAAAGACTGAATGGTACCAATTTAATATGGAGTTTTTAGTGTTGGTAGTTCTGGAGGACAGATAGATAATATAACGCTTCTTGATAGAACTTAAAAGAGAGAAAAGGCGGCTCTAACAATAGAGATACATATATTAGGAGAATCATAACTTTTGGGTTTGCCCCTAGACGAGGAAGCATGATCTGAGACCAAAAGGCTTCTAACCATTTTAGAGAAAGACTGCATGGGTTATCGAGTATAACAGAACGCCATCAGTGCTGGGACACGAGCTGCGAAAGGTCTACTGCACTTTGAATGTTGTGGAACACTGTGCGGTGTAATATATTGTATTTGTAGGATGTTCATGCGGAGAATTGTTGAAGGCGCTGAAACACTGAAACCACTAACCAAATCGAGAATTATACTAACACCAAGAGCTTAGTAGAATATCACCAAGTCTGTTTTTTTTAAATAGGAAATTAGAGACTTCTGTATAACTTAAAATGGTTATAAACAAATATTTTGCTGGATAGATACTTGGTTTTCTTACTCTAGACATTCTCAATTTATATATAATAAAAATCGAGAGAAATAAAAATAAATTTTAATCTGATAAAACCCAAGAACCCTTATAAAAAGAAAAGAATAATTAGCTAGTATATACATTGAATAAAATTTAACATATCTTTCATAGTATATGAATCCAAACTAGAGGATAGAACATTGATTAGGAAATAACATCAATTCTGGTATCAAGCCGCAGAGAACGAATGTCCATAGATCGGCAGCTCGCCGGATCGTCCCCTCCACCACATTTGCCTTCAAACACTACCAACTCCAAAGCCACGTCGAGCAACTCGCGGGATATCCGGCTGGAGATTGGCTGCCAAACCTTGCGCCAAATCTTGAACACGGACGTGACTCCGGATGCGCATTTAATTCCGCTTGTAGGATGACATAATTGCAAAAAATTTGATCAGGAATAGAAACACTAGATGGAGGAGCAGAAGATGATGTGGGCATTGAGACAGTAGGTACTTGATGTGGTGATATGAATATTGAAATGGCTGGAGTATTGATCTTCAGAAGGAGAGCATTTGCCCGCGGACAACAGGGGAATAGAAAAATGTTAAACCGCAAGTTCGTGTATGCAAAGAAAAGAAAAGAATAAGTTGGAGTAGTACTGCAAGTGCCAATCTTGACCTCAATCATCATCACAATCATACTTGTACCACAACTCCGGTTGGTAGGTCAAGAATAAATTAAGTATCTACTCATAGACACCATTCTCAAAAGTTTCCGTATTATAAAACAAAGCTGATATGGTATTCCCATTGAATATACGCCCCTCAAGTGCGTTCACAGCCTGATTAGATTAGCTTCATCCAAGGAGGGAATGACAATGGATCACATACCCTCAGCGCCGATAACTGATTAGTAAATTTGACGAAGACCTTTGCTGGAGCACTTTGCCTATCGATGTACACTCGTTCAACTCTTCCATACTGTAACATGTTAGTGTTGTTGTATATGAGCCATTCCTAAAATCGAACATACCTTTTCACCACATTCATCCCCAATTTCCTGCATTATGCCCCCATCCCCTGAACCTTCTACTTCCTCATCTAGATCCATGTTGTCTACCATTCCACGCAGTACTATAACTTCGGACATTGGTCCAAATCTGCCTGTTTCTTCCTCCTTAACAATTTTCTTTCCCCCAATGATCTTTCCTCTTCCTCCCGAATCCCGGAACCCACCACCTTCGGCATCAGACTTCTTTTTGCGCTTGTCAAGTTTGACTTGCAGAGGTGTAATCATACCGGAGCCATCTGCACCGAGTCCCGATCCTTTACTCCAACCATATTTAGACATTAGACGTTCTGCAAAACCTTTCTGGCCTGGGCGAAGTGATTTTGGTGCATCTTCATCTGGTTCTGCTTCATCTTCACCATCTCGTTCATCGGCAAGCGCTCTATCTAATTCTGCTTCTGAAGCCGGAAGTTCACTTGGCGCCGGTGGTAAGTTATACCGCACCGGTGCTCTGGAAATGGCTCCAGGTAATAGTGGTGCCGGTGGAGGTAAGGGTTGATCTTCGGGAGGTAGACGGACTGTATTAGATTGTGCTCCAATAGTGGGACTATAAGAGTCACTTTCTGGCGACTTGGAACGTTTCTTGGGGGGAGAATCGATTGGCGGAGGAGCAAACGAATAATTTGGAGGTGGAGCGAATTGGTCTGAGCATCATTAGCAGAAGGAAGACAAATGGAAAGGGGTCGCTTACTGCCAATCTTTGGGCGATATAGCTCCTCATCATCACTATCACTCGATGTCTTTCGCGCCATTCTATGAGCATATAGTCTATCCTTCCACTCTCGTACTTCCCGAACCTTCTCATCACTGTTCTTGTATTCCTCATAGTTATTTGGCCGCGAGGGGTCATAGATATCGTCCCAATCTTGTGCTACAGCTTGCTCTTCCCTGTTCTTCTTTCTTCGTTTCCTACCACCTCTTTGCCTCTTCTCGCCAACGTAAAACCCATTAACATCATCGTCGTCAGCAGCCCAATCAGCCAAAGTGCTCTTAGAAGCTGATTTGCCAGAATTAGATGCTAGGGCTTTCACCAGAGGTACATTGCTCGGCTCAGTGGTAGTTGAATTGACTGGGGTAACTTTTGGAAATGATGATTTCGGTTTGGGCTTTTGTGAAGAAAGTTGTGGTCTTCTTGTGGGTTGAAATCTTAGGGCAGCTATGTAAAGATTTAGTGCGATTCTCAATAAATTGGACTCAATTTTGTAAATCGTCTATGGCATACCAGCATCAATCTGGGGTTTCTTAGTTGAAGCTTCATCTTCCGCGGAAGCTGCGCCAGTTTTGAAAACGACTGGTCCTTTTGTAATGGAGCCGGGTGTATCACTCGGTGACGGATCTAACAAGTTCGCATAGAGAGAAAGCCCATTTCGTGCAGGAGGCACATTGGGAGGATTCGACATGATGGTAAATCAATCTGCTCACGCACAGCAGATAAATAGAGAGGCAGGTAAATATAACGTCGAAATTGTTTGCGAAACATCTACAGCCTGGCGCATGAGGCTGTATGTTCTCAGAGTCAGGTGATCAAGAGCTTCTTTCGATAGGTACCTACCTGGGTACCTTAGAGTATTCGATAAGAGTACAAGGAGGAACCCTGGCGATAAGGGCTTTGCGAGCTTGGAGAAGTTGGAAATGCTATTGGAAACGTTGTTATTATTTTTAACCTCTGTTCATTCAATTTTCTCATCATATCTAAACCAGAGAAGCAAGCTCATCGATGAATTTGAATGATTTGAAGCAGTTTTATACCCTATTCGTCAATTGTTCATTTTCCTGAAGTTACATTTTGATCTTAGCTTTGCTTTATACCTTGCACAGTGACAGCGATTGTCATCCTTCCGGCCAACCATCGTCTTCCAATCCACGCAGGCCAAGATGTCTGTCACCACTCTCGCCAATTCCTTCTCCACAGGTAGTGCTACCTCAGCAATTATTATTCCGGGAAAGCGACCTCTCACAATTACTTATAAACAGCTCTCCGCCGAAATTTCCTCATTTCAAAAGAAGCTTGCCAAGCTGGGTGTTACACCCAGAGCTGCAGTATCCCTTGCTCTACCAAACACCTATGAATTTATCGTTGCATTTTTGGCTACATCATGGCAAAGAGGAGTCGCCGCACCTCTCAACTCTTCATACAAACAGGAGGAATTTGAATTCTACATCGATGATTTGAGCTCCGCAGTTACTCTTGTACCTAAAGATTCATTTCAAAAGGATGGACCTGCTGTAAGGGCTGCGAGGAAATATAATGCTGCCATTGCAGAATGTTATTGGAATGGTAAGGAAGTTGTATTGGATATCAAGGAAGAGGGGAAACTCAAGGGGAAAGGAAACCAAAAGGTTGAGCAAGCTCAACCGGATGATGTTGCTTTAATTCTACATACCAGCGGTACGACAGGAAGACCAAAGGCCGTGCCATTGACACACAAGAATCTTACTAGAACTATGAAGAACATCCAGGCTACATACAATCTTACTCCTGTGGACCGTACCATGCTCGTTATGCCTTTATTCCACGTCCATGGACTTCTAGCCGGTTTCCTAGCTCCCTTAATGTCCGGTGGTTCTGTTATTGTCCCCCTTAAGTTCTCTGCTTCAGAGTTTTGGAGTGATTTCATTACACATAAAGCAAACTGGTATACCGCTGTTCCAACTATCCATCAAATCCTTTTGAAAAATCCACCGCCTGTAACTAAACCCAATATCAGATTCATCCGATCATGTTCCTCCCCTCTTTCTCCAACCACTTTCCATGCACTAGAAGAAACATACAACGCCCCTGTCCTTGAAGCATATGCCATGACAGAAGCTTCTCATCAAATGACATCCAATCCTATCCCACCAGGAAAACGCCAGCCTGGTTCCGTAGGGATTGGTCAAGGAGTCGAGGTACGAATACTTGATGGCGAGGGCAATGAAGTTTCTCTTGGCTCTGAAGGAGAAATTTTCATCCGTGGTGAAAACGTCACAAAAGGTTACCTCAACAATGAAAAAGCCAATAAGGAATCCTTCACCCAAGAAGGATTTTTCAGAACGGGTGATCAAGGAAAGATGGATAAAGATAGATATGTATTTATCACTGGCCGAATCAAGGAACTCATCAATAAAGGAGGAGAGAAGATTTCTCCCATTGAACTTGATAATGTTCTCGCACGTCATCCTGCCGTTTCGGAAGCAGTAAGTTTTGCTATACCGGATGAAATGTATGGTCAAGCTGTCGGTGTAGCTATTGTTTTGAAGTCGGATCAAAAATTAACTGCATCTGAGCTGAAGAAATGGGTTGCAGATAAAGTGGCTGAGTTTAAGGTTCCGAAACAGGTATGCTTTTATTGTGTTTGGTCTCTTCATATTTACAAGACTAATCAATATTGTAGGTATACTTCACAGATGTCATGCCAAAGACAGCTACAGGAAAAATTCAACGAAGGATAGTGGCAGATACTATGCTTAAGCAGCCCAAGGCGAAATTGTAGAGCTAAAGACAGTATGCTCATTTCACAGGAATGGCGGTTATGGTATTGCATCTACACTCAATACCTCCTTGTATTGATTACACTCTTGAATGTACAACATTTTCTCTTTTTTTGTAGAACGATGGATGTAAATAGATTTTAGATTATGCTTCCATGTTTTTCAAACTAATCAATTAGATTTTGGGAGCTCTTTCAGGATAGTAGAATACTAAATGAATAATAGAATTGTTCTGATTTAGAATGATATCGTGTATTCAGAACTAGACTAAGCTATATCTCTGCCTGTCTGTATATAGCATCTCATCATCTTCGGTTCTGTAAAATAGGAAGTAGGATAATATCCCCTGCCGCCAAAAAACCATAGAAGAATACCAAATATCTATCCCAATTTTTCCAAAATCGAAAATCTAAAGCTCCGCCAAACCTTCCACCTTGTATTATCTTCAATCTTTCATTTTTACACGTCACACTTCGCACTCCTAAATTCCCATGCCTGTCTTGTTGCTTATAAATCGATTTATCTTCTTTTATATTTATTATTTATTATTTAAACTTATATAATATACAATACCACGACGATATAATATCATAGTAGTTTTTCCTAGGGGTAATTAGATATCTGAGTTTAATTTAAATAGAGATTGAGAAGATTGAGAAGATTAATTCCGCCTGATACTCAATCAATATCCTCAATATCCAGTAATTATTCAATAATCAACCTCGCCCCTCCTCTGTTAAGTTTTCTTCTTACAATCTAGTAAAACCTTGTCCCTTCCACCAATTATCCTCATTCATAAATCCTCCCTCTAATATTCTCCTTCTCCTTCTCCTCCCCCATACCCTCCCATATTCTCCCATCCCACTGCACCCACTCCTCTCATCTACGAATTTCTCCTCATATTCTCCTTCTCCCCTGCTATCCTTCACACTCCTATACCCTCTCAAACCCCCCTATTACCCGATATGACATTCATTTCAATTCATACCTAGGCATTTCTGTTTGAATCTTAACACTTGCTTCCTGATGACAACAGTTTATATTATTCACCATTAGATCTACATATAAGTTTATTCCTTCCCCTTCATTTCCCTCCTCTTCCGCCTTCTTCTTTCTTCTCTTCTGAGCCTCTCCCTAGACAATATCGAATAGAAAAATAAAAGGCTACTCACTCTCCAGTCTCCATCATCCTAACATTCTTCATCCTCTATCTCTTTACCTTTTCATTTTTTTAAGCATCACCCTCTATCAATCTCTCTTCACCATCCTTCATCCTCACTCCTCGCCCTCTGTCCCTTTATCTATCTACCTCCTCATCTCTTCACCCCTTCACCTCTAAATCACCACTCACCATCCCCCAAACAATTAAATCACCAGTTCAGTTTCAGTTCCAGTTCTAGTTTCAAATTCACTCCCAATCTAAATAGAACCCTTCCATACCCCACCCCCACCTCCGATCCTCCACAAATACCCGCAAATATTCCCCCACCCCGCCCAAAAAACATCCAAAGCCTAGCCCACAAACCCTATACACCCACAAGCCTTGGTACTTCATCAAACCATCCATCCTCATATCCATTTCCCAAGAAGGAAAGACAGATAGACAGACAACACACTACTAAAGAAGTCTAAAATCACCAGGGGTAGGTATATTTGAAATCTTAACACGTAAATAATATCCACCAGAGAAAGAGACTAATTTGTCAAGGACATCCATCGTCATTCTCTCGGATTATAGTAACATGAACAGGACTTATTAGAGCAGACTAATATCATTCAACTCTAAACTCTAGGCTCAAGACCCGTAGTTCCCAAGTCACAACTCATTTGATGATATAATCTTAGAGATTCAAATAAGGTAAAGTCTAGAATACAGTCATATAACAAAGAAACAAGTACGTCATTTTTTAATGATTAAAAAGAGATTCATTATTATTCTCTGCACTTCTCATTCTCGAGGAAACAATATTCAAATGTACAATTTCGGATTCTCTCTTCTCAAAAGCCTAATGTTTTCCTTCCCTCCCTTCCCCTAAATGCCTTCATGGATTTTTCTAAAAACCATCAATGCAACAGATGCACAAGTAGAGCAACCTTGACAGCGATGGATATGCAAAGCACACGCCCCTAATGATCCTAATGAAGGTGAAAAACCGCTCAAAAGCTTATGAAAAGTCATGTAAAAAAGAGAGAACGTGGCATATTAGTTTCTAATGTGATAATTAAACGAAAAACGCCGACGTCCCAATGATTTACAACAACATGCCCAAGAAACCTCCGACAACAGAGACACCCATGAGGGCCTCGTTAACACCGTAAGAGACAGCAGCACCCTTACTAGCAGAAGCAGATGCACTTGAGGAGGAGCCGGAGCCGGAGCTGGAGCCGGAGCTGGTTCCGGTTCCAGATTGAGCGTTAGCAGTGGTCTTGCAAGTGTAAGTACCTTGAATGTTACCACTGTTGTGCTCAGATTGGAATCCAGAGCAGTCAATGGAGGTGGTGGATTGCATGTTGAAACCACCCTTGACGTCGTTAAGCTTTGGCAATTCAGGGCTAGAATAACAACGTTAGCGAATGTTCATAGCGAAGAGTTTGCATAAATAACTTACGTAGTGAAGTTTCCAGAGAAATCAATAGCACCTCCAACTTGGGTCAACTCTGGGAAGTTGATAGCACCGAGAGCGGAGTTGTTGGCAATTTGGAAAGCACCACCAACAGTCGAAAGCATAGGGATGGTGATGTTGGCGAGGTTTGGGTTGGCAACGAAAGCGAATCCACCTTGTCCGTTGGCAGTGTTACCGACGGCTGTCAAGTTTGGAGCACTGACACTGGTGAAGTAGTTCTCGTAGAAACCGAGGGATCCATTGACAACGGCCAAAGATGGAATGCTGACACTTGAGACGTTACGTAAGGTAATGTTGGCGGCCCAGATAAGGTTAGGTAAGGCAACATCCAAGTTCTTTCCGTTGGAGTCAATGTTGAGGAGCGTGGTAACATTGCCGACTTGAGTGCTGAATGTTCTGAGACGGTTGTTGTTGTTGATGTTCAAGGTGTCTACGGTGTTCAAGTTGATACCATCGAGACTGTTCAAGAAGGTGTTGGTGATGGTAACACTACTTGCGGTCCTGACCGACTTGGTGAAAGTAAGGGCTGAGAGAGCTGGAAGAGCAGCCCAGTTGATGGTGCCAACGGTGTCGAGGGCATTGAATTGAAGAGTGGACAAAAGAGTCAAATTGCTCAGACCGAAAGTACCAGTGATAGTGGAAATAGTGGTACTTGAGAGAGATGTGATGGCTCCATTGTTCTCGACGATCAAATCACCGTCGATTTCTTGAGGTCCGTCAATTTGGATAGTAGCAGCAGCGGCGGTGCTGACGAGAACGTCACCCTTGATGGTTTTGCAATCAGCCAACGCGGTGGCATCAGCAGCGTTGTTAATGGTGGCGGTTGATTGGGAGCAGATAGAGTTTGTAGCGGCTGAAAAGATTATAGTCAGTATGTATGATCTTAACAAGCAATTGAGATGCTCCTGAACGCCACCGCAGATCGAGTGTAAAATCTGCCGAGCCAAGTATGAATAGATCGGTGAAATATTGGAAACTTACCAGCTGCAGTGCCGATGACTGCGAGAGCCGGGAGGAGGACTTTAGAGAACATGATTGATTCGAAGTAGCTTCTACAGTAACTTCGCAATTGTTAGTCCAATGATCGTAAGAAGAATGTAAAAAGTGTTGATCGAAGATGAATAAAGTTGCGATGTAGTTGAGAGATTGTTCAACGGAAGACAAGGTGGCTGATGATCAGAATTCCTGAAGATGAACCAAGAAATTTGTAGCTGCAGGAACCAACTGATTCTAGAAAGGAAGGAGGCAATCAAACAAGAGATGATGGAAGGATTGATTGATTGAATCCGTGATTGATGATAAATCGAATGAATTGTAGTGAATGAACAGCTCTTCGATGAATCGATTCAATCAAGAGGGAAGGAGAGATGAGTGTTGTAGAAATGTTTCAAGAAATCAACTCACCCCTTGATGTGCAAGTATCGTAAACAAATTACTTTCTCTTTCCCTTTCGATGGTTATGTGTAAAACTTCTTTTTCTTCCTTCCTTCAATTGTATAGATGGATGTGAGCGATTGATATTATTTGTACGAGATGGACTTTAAAGTAGGAAGAGAAATCTTAACGACAGTGATGAAGTGATGAAAAATTGGAAAGAAGGCGACGATATGGGACAACTTTTTCGAGGAGAGGAAATCAGTTTCAGAAAGAAGTTGGCTTTTTCTTCAGAAAGGTTGCAGGCGTGGGAAATGAAATGAAATGAGATTAAATCAGAATGAGAATAATAAAATAATAAAATAATATTGACTACCTAGGTGGTAGTACGAACGAGGGAAAAGCGGCCGGAGCTTGGTAAATGGTGTTAAAAAAAGGGGAGGATCCTAGCTTGGGTAGGCTTGTTGGTAGTGAATTCCTTAACTTCCTAGTGAGTTTTGGAAAAGTACAAGAGGTTTTAACGCGATTTGATTGGTTCATACTAAAACTTGGTACGTTTAATAATGTTTATCTATTACTTGTTTGGTAAAAAGTCTGCTTAATTTAGTAAGTTTAGTTTCCATTAGTTGGTTAAATGTACTAGGTACTTTCCGTACGGGTCGATTTTGCACAGCGTAGCGGGTATTCAAGGGAGCTAGAACAACTAGAAAGGCTAAAGGTTTAGTCCGTTCTAGGTAATATTTCAAAAGGAATTAAGCCATCTCAGGATTTCGTTCAACGGAAAAGAACATGGAATTCTCTCCAATCACTAGGTATTTTCAAGGTACCTGGTCTATTTACCATGCCAGCTACATACGAACCTACCTATTCTAGGTACTTTTATGGATCCTCGGAAATGAAGAAGTGGATGATTTTCAGTACATCACAATCATACCTTAGCTAATATGATGGAAATTTGAAAGATCAGTACAGCAGAATTTACTTGTTCTTCCACTATTGAATTCGAAAGTTGAATAGTATCCTGTTCTTTGCTCCCTACCTAGGGATCTTAAGGTTCAACTCAGCACGCAGCTCATAACTAAGATCATAAACTCTATCAAGACAAATAGAAGGAATATATATCCATCAAAAGTCTCCAGGATTTGGGAAAATCACTTTTCAATGAATGGATGCTTTGGAAGCTCTCATCTTCCTTATGGTTGCACGAAGCGATTCTTGGAAAGCGACTCAAGATATGCAGTCGGTGTTTCCAAGTTTGTTGTACGGATCTTCTCACTTTCTTTCGAACCAAACGATCACGATCTCCAAGCTCTCCCAGGTATGGAAGCCGAACGGGGTTCTAATGGATTGATCGCTGTCCGCTGTCCATGTGGTTTAGATGATTACGAAATGCTTAGCTGTATTATTCCAGACTGAAGGGGTTACAGCATCTACATAGTCTTATGGGAATGGTAAGAAGGTTTACTCAGCTAGGTATTGAAGGAAGCTTCTGATGTCTTGTAGTAATATTATGATTAGTTTTGGATCTTCGGTATATGGACTTTGAACTATTCATCCGGCTCCCAACCGACTCCAAGCAACAATCTTCCAAAATTAATATTGTTACGGCTATGGTAGTACAGTAGTATGAAGACTGAACCGTAGACCTTTCTCCTCATCCTCAGATAAAACAAAAACCAGTGGCCAACTCCAACCAACTCCAACTCCAACCCAAACCCCATCTGGAACAATCCAATTGTCAATGAAGGTCTGGAGGAACCACGTCAAACCAATTGGAAATCATCCCAATCACCTTTACCAGCCATCATTCGTTATTTTATTCTGCAGGTTACAAGCATCCGCAATCATTCTGGTGCAGCTTGGTCCGAGTGTTTAACGTTAAATCCAACAAAGACCAGAAATACCCCTGAAGTTGGTATGAATTGGGATCTTTTAGGTTTTAGATCCGAGATTCCTAGATTAATCATTGGTTGGTAAAAGGGAGTCTCCAATTATTTCTAATATTCCTCTTCCAAGGTTCACTTCAAATCATTTTATTTTCCAGCAAAAGCATCGACGACCTGGGCGGTGGGCAGAAATTAAACCATCTATGAGGGAATCATGACATGAATGAGCATGAACAATGAAATGAGCTACCCATCTGGCTATCTAATTTACAGTTTGAGCAGCGACCATTTGTTCACCCAAAAAGACAACAACTTTATGAATTCTTTTTGGTACTACCATACCGATACATTTCATTCGCCTCTTCCTTTAAGTCTTTGACTAAAGAAACCGGGAGACACGAGGTCTTGGTAAGCGGGTTTGCTTGTCACTTGCCGTCTCGTCTCGCTGCTTTTTGGAGGTGTAGATATAGGCGTACTGTAGGCGTTCAAACAATTCCACATCACGGGCGCGAGCATGGCCAGAATTTCATAGAACAATCAAACAACCCAATCCAATTTCAAAACCTATCTCAGCCACAATGAGTTTGTGGCTTTTTATATTATTCAATTCAATTTCAAATTTCAAATTTCAAACTCGCTCTTTTCCCATTTCATCTCCTAAAAGCAATATATATACCAAGGTATATAGATATTGATCTATCTATCCAAGCATCGATAGCTATCTAATAATCGCAAGATACTCACTCAGTCATCATTGTACCAACCCCCTCAACATACATATATACATACATACATACATACATACATACATACATACATACATACATACATGTAGGGATTATGCATTCATGTATGCATTCATACGCGTTCTGATGACGATTCCTGGTGTTGCTTTTTTAGACTTTTAGACTTTCAGACTTCGGTTCTATAATTAGATAATTATTTGTGATTAAGAAGATAGATAGGTAAGTAGGTAGATAGGTAGGTGGGTGGGTGGCAAATGGACTGTTACGTTGCAACATTGTAACTATTATCACGTGTTATAGGATTACATGAATAGTCTTGTGAGGGAGTGAGGGAGCGAAGGAGCGAGATTCGAATCTCGCTCCCTAGCTCCATCGCTCCAATGTTGGAATACGAAGGTCTATATAATCAAGATGGATTCCCTTGTATAGAGCTTCGTGCTCAAGATCAAGATCAATCATTTAGTATACTCTACTATTAGTTACGAATTGCATTATTGTCATTACTTTAAGTCCCTGCTTGACACCTAGTTATAAACCACCTCGAGAGCCTAGAGCACTTCCACGTGATCTAGACGGCAAACCTCGTAACAATGGTGGATGGTGGATGGTGGATGATAGTGGTGAATATAAAAAGTTTATTTATTTTATAAAGGTATTATATAAATATATATTTGTATTAATTAAAATATTAAATTTTTAATTTTTAATTTTTTTTAAAAAGAGGATTAAGGGATGAGTTGAGGTGATTATATAATTATCATTTAAATATTATTATTTGATATTTTTTTAAAAAAATATATATATTCTAAAAGAAATTCTATTATATAAATCATCTTAATAAATCAAATCAAGAATAACTCTTTCTCTTCTTATGAAAAAAAACTTTTTTATCTAATTATATACCGACGGAACTATCTAAGACTCATCGGGTCGATGTATCCTCCGTACTGATACCCGTATGCCCGATTTATGTCCTACACGTGATACTGCGCAGGTACACGCAAGACGACGCGACGCAGGGCAACGTAATGTGATGTGATTAAGGGTATGCATGTGTGTGTATATGTATATGTAAATGTATATGTATATGTATTATAAAGATCTTCGAGGTCATCTTTATATATTGATTTTTAGGTTGTTAGATTGTTATTTGAGTAGTCGGTGGGAGAGCTTGAGGGCCGGGTGTTGGTATTTTGTTCGTGGTTTGTTTTGTTTGTTTTGTTTGTATGTTTGTATGTTTGTATGTTTATTTATATAAGATTACTGATTGGTTGGAAATGGATGAATGATTGAATAAATAGGTTGGGAAGGAGTTAATATTTAGTTGTGTTGAATTGCATTGCGGTGCGGTGCGGTATGTTTGTTGATAGATGGAGTTGACATACTCCATAAATAGGTTGATATCCATCTATGAACATTGTAATCATTATGTAGTGATTCCAAAAGTAAGACTTACCTACGGAGTACATACAGTACTTACCTACATATCTACCTTGTAAATTCATCACTTGATGAATCGTTTGATGTTAGGTACTTGATGAAACGGGATAACATGAAATGGAATGAAATGGATTGGCTTTTCTAAGACTGTTATGTATGCGAGTGTACCGGTACTTCGTATAGAGTACAACATGTACATAGGTACATGAGAACCTAATTACTTGTTCTCTGCGGGTATATTATCCCGATGTATATTCTGTATTGGTATTATTGTATATATGTTTGATTATATAATTTATATATTTGAAAATATAAAATATGTAAAAAAAACTATCTAGTTTACTCCGGATAATAGTGATTTACTTATAGTTATTTGGGTAAATTTGATAGGATTGACTTAGTGAATTCGGTTGGGAGTTTGGGTTGATATGTTTTATATAGTATGTATTATATAAGGTGGGAGCGGGAGAGGGGAAGAGGAAGAGGATTGAATTTATCAACACGGGGATTTGACAACAAGAGATCAAGATCAGTTGAGCTTTTATTATCGTTGTATACTCGAGTCGTTATGATGGTAGTTTTCAAGAAAGAACTTTAGATAATACCCAAGGAGAGCTTAATTAAGTGTGGAAATTTTAGGTACGGGATCCCGCGAAAATGGCGCTAAGGAAATTAAGCATTAAGGATGGAAGTTTTGATAATGTAGGTAGTTATTATGGTCTGCTATGGAATTTGGATGTTAATTAGTGGTAAGTATTTAAAATGGACTACGTGGTGGAAATATCACAATAATTATATGTGTTGGATATCTGGTAAGTATATGGCTGTTCTGATTCCGTATCCTGAGTCCTGAGTCCTGAGTCCCATGTCCTTATTTCATAACCCGTAATCTATATTCCATCCATTAGAAGCACCATTCATTTTTTCCATCTCACGACCCATTTCTCTGCCTCTACCTCTGCCTCTGAATATTTCATCTTCTCTTTCTGTCATTCGTTCATATACTATACAGTGATATATATCTTTCAAAAATCAAGAATATTCCTCAAGAGTAGTGATATCTGTATCTTCTACTCTCCACATATACCACATGAAGATACTTCTGGTAGTGGTGTTAGCTTTTTGTAATATAATGTAGGGACGGGTTTCGTTTTGGTTTTGAGTGATGTTATTCGCGAAGAAAATCATGACAGAAAGGGAAAGAAAGGGTGGTGTTAATGAACTTTTGTTTATATTATAGTGAGGATATTCATGCATGGATATGTAATAAAGGCGAGAATAAATATAATAAATAGAGTAAAGAGGGTAAGAAGAGGGAAGTCGAGTAGAAATCTAGAATCTGAACTATCAGATAAGCGAGTGACAGTCAGACCCCTCAAAGCATAGGAGTAAGAATATCTGAATCCAAATGAAGCAAGGAAGGAGACTTTGGTGGATTCCCTATCGTTCTAAGGCAAAAACCAACGAGGAGAATCATTGAAAAAACCCACCTATAAGGACTAAACTTTTCAGCCATTTCCTCCATTTCCTTTTCTCCCATATATTTCCACTTCCCTCCACCTTTCGCACCCTTCCCGGCCTTCTTCAATTTCTCTACATCCTTACCAAGTAGCGCCGCCATTCCTCTTTGAACCCCTAAATCTCCGGTACTGAAAACATCTAGACGTTTGAGGGCAAAACAGGCAAACATTTCGACACTCCATTTACCAAGACCTCGCACTTGGATTAGGGAGGCGAAAACTTCTTCATAGGATGCGCTGAGGAGGAATTGGGTGGTTAATTCACCGTCTGTGAATTTGAGGGCGAGGCCGGAAATGTATTCTGCTTTTCGTTGAGAGAGACCCGCGGTGCGGACTAGGTGTTTTAGTGAGGAGGGAGAGATAGAAGGGGAACTGAAAGGGGGAGATTTAGGAGTTAAAGATAAATGATTAGTAAAATCTGTACTTACGACGTGCTAAATCAGTAGCTACAATGGCAGAAGGGGTCGGGAATGTGTGAGTAGATGGATCTGAATCAGGTGGGTTGAAAAGTGCTACAAATTTAGCTTTGATTGATTTGGCTGCCGCACCGGAAACCTAAATTTTGATGTCAAATTCATGTATATATACATAGAAACAATGAGTTAGTTTTAATAAATTTCCTACCTGCTGCGATATAATTCCACTGACTAACGCCCTGAATGGTTCAATCTCCTCAGCTAAACCCTCAGCAGAAAATATTCGGCATGGATGCTTCTCAATAATTGGCTTTAACTTGGGTTCAACTTTGATCAAGTGTTCTAAAGCTTTGTCTAAAATATCAGATGTTGATATTTTGACAGCAGGTGGTTTTGATGGAGATACTTCATCCATGGATTTATTGGCAAGAAGTCGGTGAGTTTCGGGTGTTACTAATGGAGCATTTGTTCCATTGAGAACGGCGAGACGATCAACGGGAGGTGGATGCAAACTATCGTCAATGTCTCTATAAGGACTGGACATGGATGTGATGACTGTTGGCGTTGGAGTCACTGGAGGAAGGCGAATAGAAGTAGCACTTCTCTTCTTTGGAGTTGATGGCTTTGCATTTTCAGTGGATGGAGAATCGCAAGATTCTTTTGAAGCAGCTTTTCTCTTCTTGGGATTTGGAATTATTGCGGGCAAGGAAGATTCGGATTCTTCTGGAGATATTGCCTTTGTCTTCTTGGGCTTTGGAAGTTTGGTAGATGCTGGAGGAGCTGTAGCTTCTGGCAGCTCAGTCTTTCTCTTCCTGCTCATTTTAACCTTAGATCCTGCTTGGCTACCTCCATGTATAGCCTTGGCACCTTTTGCCACAGAAGAAGTCGGGACAGTTTCAGATAGATTTTCAGTGACGAGAGAAAGTGCACTTAAACGAGCTGATCGTCTTGTAGACATTGTAGACATTATGAAATTGTTTGATGATTGTAGAGAAAAGTATCTAGTTGATGAAGTGATGGTTTTGTATGATGGAACCCGCTGTAGCCTATTCACAGAATTGTAAGCAAGACACTTCCACTATCACCAGGTATTAGTAACCTGATCAGTACTTCAAAGTAAAAGATACCTGTATATACATTCTTTTAGAGAATTACAATTAATAGATGGTATTTCTAACATCAGTTAATAACTTCAGCTCTATCCACACAGTAATATCAATATAAGCCAAAGTACTAAACATGAACCATACCCATGTTTCATCTCTCGCTCGCAAGATGGCTACTTCACGTGATGACTCCTTTTCTGCCAGGTATCCCGAGTGGCATCCGAACATAAATTGGCATTGGACATTGGCAAACGCAACGCAACGCAAGCAGCGCATCCAATATACTCTGATAAGACAGTAGTACGAATCCGATCGTATTGCATGTAACAGACTTCAGTTGATAGGGTAGGAAGTAGTGAATTATATATATAAAATATTCATCTGGTTGGAATAATTTAACTTTTAAATATTTTTCATCATCATAAAATAAACCACTTTAACAAATATTATTCAAGTGTCCTCTTTGGTAACTCGATCTTCTCTCCTCCATCTATCTTGTCTTCTCTTTCTTGTGGAGTTCCCCTCAAAATTGAAATAATATTACGAAAGGTCTAGTTCCTCTCTTTTCATTCGCTTGGGCTCTCTTGGCACAATTTCTAAATTCGTGTAGACCCTCGAGGCCACTGAACGGATCTCCCTGCCACTCGCGACCTCCCAAACCTTCCCCAAATCCACCAAACTTCTTAATTCCAGCCTCGAACGAGCTTGCGGTCTCAACCTATTTCACACCAGAATCTCTGAGCGCTTTTATCTCGACGTCTGCGAGCTCGAATTGATATCACATCCTCATCATATCGGGTGGTTTTGAAGCCACAGGGGTTTCGCCATGTTGGGTCCTAAGGGTGGCATGAATTGGAAAGCTACAAAGGCACAATTACCGCCTGCGAGAGCGATATGGGTTTTCCTTACAAGGACGCGATTTTTACTCTGTGTAGCATTGGCTGGTGTTGTTATATTACTATGGAGAGGAATTAGTACTTCTGCACAAGAGATGCAAAGGTAAGCACTCTATTATGGTCAATCGGCAGAGCCAAACAAGAGTAACATCGCTGATTTTGTTCCTTTGGTAAAGATATTATTGTTGGGGACCTTCGAAACCGCCGATGCAAATGACCTTGAATGAACAAGCCGACTGGAACGCGCATTTACAAACACCAGTTATCTTTAATCATCATGAACCAGTGGTTGTAAATTCGAGCACCATTAAAAGTGTTGACCTCAATCCCATTCGATCCACCACGAAAGCAATTGCAAATGAAGAACGAATTTTGATTTTGACCCCTCTCCGAGATGCCGCGTCATATTTACCAAAATACTTCGATTTACTCTCACTCTTGTCATACCCACATCATTTGATAGATCTTGCTTTCTTGGTTGGTGATTCATCCGATGACACTCTTGCTGTTCTTGCAGCAGAACTCGACAGAGTTCAAGACGGAAAGGAAACTGCGGCATTCAACAGTGCTTTGATTGTTCAAAAGGACTTTGGTGCGGTTTCGGGTCAAACCGTTGAAGAACGTCACGCATATGCGGCACAGGCACCTCGAAGGAAGATTATGGCTCGTGCCAGAAACTACCTCCTCTCTACGGCGTTGAAACCGGAACATTCATGGGTATACTGGAGAGACGTGGATATCGTCGATAGCCCTGAGAAGATCATTGAGGATTTCATTGCTCACGACAGAGACATCATTGTACCAAGTAGGGAAATCCTTATTTTCATGGTACTTATTACACTTACTGACATGGGCAGATGTTTGGTTTCATCGATACCGTGATGGGGTTGACATTGAGGGTCGATGTAAGTCTAGATCATCCCTGACAGCATGCGGTCAATGCTAATCATTTACAGTTGATTACAACTCGTGGATCGAATCGGATAAAGCACTCAAGTTGGCCTCAAAGCTTGACAAGGATACAGTTATTGTCGAGGGTATGTATTAGAGTGACGAGGTTTGCATCACTATGCTGACGAATATCTAGGTTATAAGGAGTTCGATACCGGTCGCACTTACATGGCTTTGATGGGTAACTGGAGAGAAAACAAGGATGAGGAAGTTAAGCTCGATGGTATTGGAGGAGTCAACATCATTGTGAAGGCAGATGTCCATAGATCAGGTAGTTATGCCAGGTATATTGACAGGCCGAGACGCTAACGAATCTATAGGAATTAACTTCCCGGCCTACGCATTCGAAAACCAAGCCGAGACTGAAGGTTTCGCAAAAATGGCCAAGAGAGCAGGTTATGAAGTTATTGGGTTACCCAACTATGTGGTCTGGCACATGGACACGGAGGAGAAACCTGGTAACAATGTTTGAAATGCCTCTGTATTGAGAAATTCGTTCGGACACGTCTTAATGCATATACGGAGTTTTTAAGTGAGAAGATAAGATTTTTGTATGATTGGATCGGAGGGGGACCAACATTCGGAAAGGAGGAAAAAATGATTCCCCCAACCTACCTTCGAAGGGGTTTTAGTACCTTTGAAATTTCTTGTACCGAATTTTTTCATTCTGGGGGGGCTCAGGGAGTTTGATCATTTTTCATGAATGAAGATACGGGCTTGGGCTTGTTAGCAAGCATGGTGCAAGGACAGCATACCACTGTAATAGAAATGTCCCAATTGCGATTTGTTTATTCATGATGGTTTTTACTACTGCTGTGGTGCACTGGTGGTTTATTGGATCAAAGACTGGGAAGATGGACATATAATGAGGATGAGAATGAGAATGAGGACGCAAATGCTAGTGTGGCTCGTTGGTGGGTAGGATGGAGTAGATGGAGTGGTGGTTGTGAAATATGTAAATGTTCTATGGATACTTATGGGTAA